GCAAGAGAGAATTTCCTTATATATGCGTATATGTATGAAATTTAAACCCTTAAGAAGGCTTGGATATATTACAATGTTTTTGGAATGAAAATAACTGACATAATTTCTTCAAATTAGAAATCATTAAAGAAGGAAAAAAAGGATCCATATTCTTCATCTGAAATTCTGAATTTGTCCATGAGGCAGAAAATTTTGATGTTAGAGTTGAATGAATTGCATCAAGGCGGTGCAATAGAATTTAATTATGGGTGCAGGAACTCTTTCATTGAGGATACAAGATTGATCAGTCCATTTCGAGATTGCAAAAAGTATGAGAAACCTGAAGATAGGCTTTTTTTACCTCAGATTGTATTCAACATACTTTCATACTCCTTAAGTTTTAAATAGTTCTCAATGATCCTTGCTCATACCAGAGTTGATATTCAAATATCCAGTCAATGGAACAGTTGAACCCAAATTGATTCTTTTGCTGATTTTCTTTGATATTATTGTTTGAACTTGGTTGCATCAGAAGTTGCTATTAAACTTGTATCTTAATGTTATCCTTGTGCCTTCAATTGTTACAGGGAACAGATGGCACTGAATCTTCAGAAGGAAGGACCTTTGTTTCTTAGATCTCTCAGCAAAGGTGATCTCGTTCACTTGGTAGATTTGTTAATATCAGAAAAAAAATGGGTGGAAGAAAGCCCCTCCCAGACGTCACCATTCAAACTTACCTATCGCGATGGAAAGAGTTCTCTAGATCATTCTAATGATACAAATAGGTCGACATCCATCTTTTTGAATAAACCATCACAACATGACATACAAAGATCACGAGAACATGATGGAGAGGAAAAATGTCGGAATATTCCTCATAGTGGAGTTTCACTACCTGCCATTAAAAAGAAACCCTCCGACAGGTGTAGAATTGACATAATAGCCGACTGCCAAAAGCTTGTAAATGAAATATTGAAAGAGTACCCGGAAGGATATAACATGGTCTTATTCAGAAAGTTGTTTCTTGATAGGTATGGCTACCACCTTGATTTGCATATGCTTGGTTATGAAAAGTTGGCATCCCTGTTACAAATGATGCCTGGTGTTAAAGTAGAGTCCTCTTACATCGTTCCTGCTTGTAAGACACCAAAAATGTTTGATATGGACAGTTATGTCCATAATATCCAAAAACAGACTGTCAGTCATACAATGGCTAATTCAGATAGTGAATTATCTGATGCGTCAACCAAGGATGATGTTAGCAACTCACCATGGGAAGAGCTGGGCCCTGTCGCCAACACATCGGAAAAAAATGAAGTGGAAGTAGCATCAAGGAGGAAGGCAATAGGATCAACAGGTTTTGATTATGAACCATCCCTTTCAGATGACTTGTCAGATTCAGAAGGAGAGACTTCGCCCTTAACTGAGTTAGAAGGAGAAGGTGCGGCCAGAGTGAACAAGGAAGATAGCTCCCTATTGCAGATCCTTGACTCGTGGTACAGCGGTAAGGATGGCGGAAGTAGCAAGGACAGGTCAGAGAATTTTGAGGGTTTGGTTGATTTCACAAATGTTTCTAAGCTATCTGTTTCATCTGGAGTTGGTCCCATGAGTGGTACTTATTCAGGAAACCAAGCCCGCAAGCAAAGACCTCAAAAGAACTACTCTTTTGTTGCAGACTCTGGTGAAAACAAGGACAAGCTAATTGATGGCATAGTAGGTAGCTTGAAGAAATCAAGTGAGCCAAGGATGAAGAGCTAGAGGGTTTAAATAATTAAGAGTGAGAGCAAGTCAATGAAGCATATATCTTCTACATTCGGAATAGATACTAGGAAATGTAGAACTTGAGTAATTAAGTGATGTAATCCCTGGTCACGCATCATTTTTTTGAAATTAGGTTTCGTTTACTGATTTGATTTTTGTAAAAGGCGGAGCCATGATTCAGGATGTTGATTTAGATTTTCCTATCCTGATTAATTTATAAGAAATGGCTTTTCAAAATAATTCATTTGATTGGCTTCCAATGTGTAAATATGTGTTCCAGGATTCGCTTTCAGGAATAGTCTTCCCAATGTGTAGTTGCAAGAAATGGACCTACAGATACTGGCATCAAGCGGTATACAGAGGCAGTTTTATCAGGTAAAATTACTGTTACAGATCATAAATATGATTTAAAAATAAATTACAACATTTTACATTCCGAAAATGTAGTCTATGTGCAAGAAATCACTAATATACTTCGATTTCTCTATCTGTTTGTAACAGGAAGCAAGGATTAAGGTATGTTTCTTGTTGATTCACAATTTTGGTCTAATTCCTGATTCATTAGCTTTATAATATAATTGCATCTGTTCCTTTCTCTTAATTATCACTCTCTCTAAATTACAGACTGCAGTTTTCATGGGGTGCTTTAGTAATAAAGTTTTTATATATAAATTTAGGAACCAAAAAAAATGACCTAAGAAAAACGTTAGGGTTTAGTATTGAGCAATGTTAACTTTCACAATCAATAATTAATATTCAAATTTTTGAAGTTTTCTTTTGGTGGTTGTAGATTTAATGGAACAAAATTAGAACTGTTAGTCTATATATTATATAGGAAATTAGAAAGAAACTGAGTAAATATTAATTCTTTCTTTTGTTGTTTATATATTTATAGGGACATTTGCATAATTCTTTCTATTTTTACGTTCATCTTTTCTTTGTATTTGTGCTCATCTCTAATTGGACTCAAATGAGTGATAGTGGACTGAAATTGTATGTGAGTCTGAAGTCTGCAAAATGCCAAATAAAAGGGACGTTTGATATCCTAGCTGCACTGCATCTGCATGCAACTCATTTTAGTAAGCAATGTGGACATTCATGGTCAACACATCCAGCTTCAAGCTTTAATTGTTTAAGGAATCAAAGCCCTAATCTGATCATTGTGGAAGATGGTAATTTCATTTGGGCTGGAGAGCCAAGACATAAGCCCATTGTTGGACCACAAGTCCAGTGTAATTTTTTAGAAAACCTGACGATTGTCTTTTTTATTTTTTTTATTTTTGGGTTGGGTAGATGCCAGATGGTTTTAGGATAAACTTCATATACCAATCACTCGCAAATCAACACGTGTATATGTAAACTCCAGAGTTTGTGAGAGTTCGAACTTATAATGTATGAATTTATGGCTCGTGTCATGCTCACCCTTTGCCATTGAGCCACTTGTTCGAGTTAACAATATTAAAATACATAAAACAAGCCAATTCCATGGCACTTTGCGTGTGAGAAACTCTTATCCCTTTGTAATTTAAACAATCACTTGCTTTCAACACAAAAAAAATACACAAAACAAGATTGTCTAAGGAGTTTTATTAGAGTTTGAATCCTCTCCCTCCATTCGATACAAATGTGAAAGGTCAAGAATGAATAAATTAAATTATTTATCATGACGTGAAGCTATTCTTGGTTCATTTTGCATTTAATTAATTAAGCAAAGAGGGATGGATTTGACACAATAAAATAATACTTATTACAAGGGCCATAGGATGAGAAGACTTGATTAAACAACGCAACGACGCAATGATAATAGTTGTAATGGGTATAGCACTTTTTCCTATCCCCGGCCAATAATACAATGATATGTATGATAACTTTTTCGCGTGTTATTATGTTATTGGCCGAAGATAGTTATTCTTCCCAAAATGAGTGTTTTTGCAAAGGATGAGAAGACTTGATTAAACTTTGGCTGGTTTGGTTTGGGTTTCATTTCTTCATATAAACTGGTGGCTGTGCTTCTCTTAACAATCACCATTCAAGGACTCAACTTGTCACCAACGAAACAAGAACATGCGCCGGTCAAGCATTTGGCTTTCGAATCTAAGATGTCAGGAGGTGGAGCCAAGCCAACCGGACTTTCTTTTTCTTCTTCATTAAACAATATATATTATAATTGTTATGTTATCAATTTATGGGACTTTACTAAATTGATTATAGACAAAATATATATATTCATTTGATAATTCTTTTTAAAAAAATTGAAGAAATTTTATGTGCCACGTTAACACTCACTATGAATTTGAGCCCCGGTACGTTTTATTATCTTCATTCTCAGCTCTAAAATAATTTTATTCTAATAACATAAACCAAATGCAAAGTTAACTTGCAAAATGTTAAATAAAAAATAACTATGGACAATTATGTTTTAGTTAATAATATAGGGATTAGAAATTTTTTAAAATATTTTATACGAGCGATATCAGGAGAGGAGGAGGAAATTAACCTCGGATGCTCTTAATTACCCTAATATATGTATTAAAAAGGTGTAGATTAAATCAATTTAGTCAAACTCAACTGCCCTCGTAGACATGTGAACTCATTTATGTGGCACTGTAAGCTCTCTACCTGTGCCAAATCTAAAAGAAGCTTCGGTTGATTCTGTGTATAGATTCAATATTAGGTACGCGCCAGAAGAATTTATCAAACACAGACTGTGCATGGTGATCTAGAAAGAAAACAAGGATATAAACAATTCGAGTAAATTAAATTGTAAACATATCCCTTATGTTTGACACAGCTGAGACAAACGTCACAAAGCTATAGACAAAAATTTGCATCGATCGATCCCTTTAATAATTTCCAAATTGTGACAGAAGAAGGTGTTGGGAAAATGCTTTCACACACACATGGTGAAATTCAGAAACCAATCTCATTGGTGGATCAAAAATATATTGTATATTTACCTTGTGAAGAGATGTGGGGATGAGGAAAAATATGGAAAATGGAAGAAAAGGACACTCTGCCTTCTCCCTTGACTCTTTTTAAATTCTTGTGTACAACTAGTTAAAGCATATAATCCATCCATCCATCCTCCTTGAGTCATGGGTGGACTTTGACCACTACTTTTCTAACCAGCTCCCTCCCCTTTTTCCCTTGCCTGGCTGCTTCTCTCTCTCTCTCTCTCTCTCTCTCTCTCTCTCTCTCTTGCTTACTAGTACTACTACTTTTCAAGTTGTCCTCCTTCCTACTTTTCAAGTTCTCACTAACCAGAAACAAATATTTCCCTCTCTCAGCAGGTGCCCACCTCTCTTCTTGTTTAATCAGTTTCTGCGCTCACCAGTATGAATGATTACTTTTAATATTCTTCATATCCCTACTTTTCAAATCTCTCTCATCTCTCTGCCAGCTTCTTTCATAGTTAAAGGTACCAACCCCACATCACCTTCTGTACATACATACTATTGCCATTCTGATTCTGATCACAGATCCTTAATTGCCCCATAGAGATATATAAGTTTCCAAAGCTACCACCTTTCTAGTCAAGACCTTTCTCATTCTTTCTAGATCATCATGGTGTTCTGCATATTATTCAAAATGAAATAAGGAGGACAAATGTTGGGTAGGGCCAGAGACTCATAGCCAGCTAGTCTTCTGAAATGACATAAAGGTCGGTTGTTGCAGTGTAGCTAGGGAGATCCAGAGGGATTGGATCTCCTATAGCCTGCAGCAACAATTTTATCAAACACTTTGTACATGGACACTGCCTTCCAGCTCGATGAAGGCTCTCGCGCCAGTTTTCTTAGACTCATCATGCAGTCTTTTGGCTGCTTCTACATCTGCTTATGGTCCTATATGCCCCCTCCTTCTAAGTATGCATCATCAAAACCTCTCTCTCTCCCTCTCCCTCTCCCTCTCGCTCTCTCTCTCCCTCTTTATAAATGCGGCCACTATAGCTCATACATATTTTATATATATGCATGCAGCTGCTTATTCTTTCTTGATGGTGTCTATGATGAAGAAAATCAACCAAGCTCTTCTTCTGGGAATCAGGCTCGGAGGCTTTTTGATGAGTATCGGCAATCAATATTCAATGTCGTCGAAAATGAGTAAGACAGACAGACAGTACTAGAACTACTTTGTAATTAAATTTTGCTAGCTAGATATAGCAAGTCCAATTAAACCAGCTAGATTAGCTTCCAATGTGTATATATATTGCTCTCATAAGTTTTTTTTTCTGCATGTATGTATATGATCAGATGTGTTCCAGGATTCGCTTTCAGGAATAGTCTTCCGAATCTCGAATTGCAAGAAATTGAACTACAAAGACTGGCATCAAGCGGTGTACAGAGGCGATTTTATCAGGTAAAATTACTATTGTTGATGATAAATATAATTCAAAAAGAGAATAAGTTTACACTTACATTTTACATGCTAATACTTGATTCCTTATCTGTTTGTAACAGGAAGCAAGGATTAAGGTATTTTTCTTGTTGATTCACAATTTTGGTTTAATTTTCTGATTCATGAGCCATAGTTTTATAATATATAAATGCAGATGTTCCTTTCTCTTAATTAGCAATTTTCCCTAAAAATTACAGACTGCAGTTTTCATGGGGTGCAAGAGTGGAGAGATTGAGCTTGGCCTCTCAAATGTGCCTCAAGTAAGAAAACCACAAACAATTCTCACCCTGCAAATCAATAAACTAAGCTTGTATGCTAATAAACTAATCCAATTGTTTTTGTTTAATTTGCAGATAAACATAAAAAGGGAAATGATGAGAAACTGGTTGCCAGAAGCTTTCTCCAGACAATTATCACCACATACAGCAGTTGCCAACAGGCCAAATAATCCTGATCAGCAAAACCCACTTTCATCCTCCTCCTCATCTTTTAGATCACTGTCCACCATGGACAGCCCTGAATATTCCTCCCTCCTCTTCAACATTCCAACCACCACCACTACTTCTTCTCACATTAATATCCCAGATGTCTTTACACAACCAGCTCCTAATCCATTGCAACCTATTAATATTGTTACTTCATTAGAACCAATGCCACCCTTAAATATCATTAGTAGTTCCATTACTAGTCCTCATCAACAAGCCTTGCGAGCATTTTCTCGAATACGAAACACCCAATTCCCTGCCCCTGAGATTGAAGATGCCGCGATGACAAGAGCCATCCTTGCAGTTCTATCTTCTTCTTCTCCTTCTTCTTCTTCTTCACATCAGCCACCCCCACAAACTAATGTTCCACCTTCTTCTTCTACTGCTCACTTTCTCACTCCAAATACAAGTGCTTTCAAGACTTACAACTCCTCACCTTTAGCCCCAAGAACGCAGACGAGCGCTAATGTACGCAAGCAAATCATGCTCAAGAGATCCATTTCCTTCTTGAGAAGTTTGAATCTAATGAGACTTCGCGAAGGTATCCAAGCTACTCGCCCCACTAGCAGTCAGCTTCATCACATGATATCGGAGCGTAAAAGGCGTGAGAAGCTCAACGAAAGCTTTCATACATTGAAATCACTGCTTCCTCCGGGAACCAAGGTATGTGTGCATACACTTTTTTGTTTGAACGCATATTAGGCGAGTTTAAGGCTTAGGGTTTAGCTCTCGGGTTTTAAGTATTAATGATTAGGCTTTTATTATAAATGTAGAAAGACAAAGCATCGGTGCTTACAACTGCAAGGGAGTACTTGACTAGTTTGAGAGCTCAAGTTGCTGAGCTTAGTAAAAGAAACCAACAGTTGGAGGCAAGGCTTCCTCCAGCTGCCAAAGAAGCTTATAATGAAGAAGCAGCAGCTGCAGCAGGCTCCTCAAATGAAAGAGTTAGTGTTACGCTTACACGAGTAGTATCCGAATCAACCCCAGATCAAGATCAGCAAATTTTTGACTTGCAAGTGGTTCTAAGATCAGTAGAATGCTGCACTGAAGATATGGTGATTCGAATATTGGAATTCTTGAAGCAGGTTAACAATGTAAGCTTGATGTCCATGGAAGCCAATACTTGGATGTCAGGATCTGATTCTAACGTCAACCGCGTAATCTTGAGATTAAGAGTTGATCAGGTATGTAATTAATACAACTACGTACTTATTGATTTTTTTTAATTTCTCAATTTCATACAACTATATTGTTCCCTTCTACTGAAGCATGTGTGAAGGTAATTGACCTAGCAATCCCCATAGTATTAAAGTTTTAATATATATATCAGCCAAAAACGAGGACCTAACAAAAACTTTAGGGTTCCTAAACCCCCTCCCCAAATCGCTTGTACTAAAAATTTATAAATAGAAATCTTTAGGGTTTGTGTTAACTTTCATAACCAATAATTAATAATATTCAAATTTTAAGTTGTCTTTTGGTTGTTAACTTGTTATATATATATATATAGGAAATTAGAAAGCAACTGAGTAAATATTAATTATTTCTTTTGTTGTTTATAACTTTATAGGGGACCGAATGGGACGAGGCTGCCTTCCAGGAAGCAGTGAGAAGGGTGGTTGCTGACTTGGCATTGAATAATTGCCGCAATCAATGACTTCTCTCTACACGTTCCAATATACACAGCTAGGACTAGACTAGTCAAGATTTTGATATATGCATGCATGGATGGATGCCCCTTCTACTTTTGGCCATGGATGCCTTTAAATTTTGACCCTATCACATCCGTCAATCTCCACCGTTAGATTAGACGACCGAACACATCATCACCGTCCATTCCATTCATATTTTGTGCCTCATTTGTACAATTTTAATAGCCGCTTCTTTGCAAAGCATCTACTGATATAGTAGTTATAGAGCAATTGCTTTTTCAGAAAAGGTTCTAGGTTCTAGGTTCTAGGTTCGAGTCGTGAGAAAAGTAACCAATAAAATAGAATAGTATAATGTATAGAAATTATTGTATTATTTAGTTTAAACATCTATTAGTTATATAAAGATTTATGGCATGGGAGTCGCTATGAATGGCTTTGTTGGGACATCCATCCACCAAGCCAAGTTGGGGTGAGTCAAGCCCACCAAATAAAAGTCCTTGTTTTATCTTCTTCCTTTGTTGGGGGTCTTATGTGGGTTCTTACGTCAATTTTGTTTCTTGTACGAAATGATGTGTTGCCCAAATTGACTGCAAATAGGAAGAAACCATGAAAGTAACCGCCACGAACGAACTAGCTCCAACAATTGTTTAAAGATTTGATCGATACAAAGTTAGAAAGAACAACACATCTTGGTCCGACATCAAAAATTCACTTTCTCAATGTTTTCTCCAAAACCATAATAACATATGCCACGTCATGCTGGGTGTTTGAGGTTGATGTTGAGATTGCGGTTAGGTTCATGTATCGCATATTATTAATATTAATCTAGCCTAGAAATTAATAATAAAATCCCATTTGTCTTTGGTCTTTTTGGTGGGCAACAATATTATCTATCTTGAAATTTCAAGGCCAGTCAATCACTTTTCTTCACAGGAATCAGTAAAGCCCTTCGAGACGGCGGTTTTGACTCTTCTTTATATGTATATAAGCATATGAACCTTTCTAGGGTTGAAGTGCTCTACCTAATGTGGAAAATTAAAATTTGAGGTCACAAGTTGGTCAAATTCATTCATCTAAAATATTCTGGGCCAGGGCTCTAGCTGCCCATTTTGTATATTTCCTGTACCACTGGCACTTGGAAGTTGGAAGTTGGAAGCTTTCCTTTCCAAGATTCTGGATAGTGTCGGCAATTTGGGAGGGATCGGATCGGAATCATGTCCACTAACATCTGCTTGACTTGTATTCTCTATATGTCACCTCAATTAAATATAATGATGACTGTTAGTTTGGCATTGCTGTGTTGTGAAAATAATCACTGTCAAATTTGCTGTGAGAGAAATAAACTGTAAGAGAAAGCAGTTTGGCATTTAATAAACTTTTTGTTAAAAGTGTTTGTATCGATTCCCGCATAATCAGAAAATGATTGCCGCATAATCATTAAACTCAGCACCTCTTCGAAACTGATTCATGCATAATCAGAAAATGAAAGCACCTCATTATCTGATTTCCCTTATAGCTTTCTCTCACAGCAATTTTTAACAATAAATGATTTTCTCATAATTTACCAAACGGGCGTAGCTTCCCAAAATTTTAAAAAAATCACTCATCACCCCAAATAAGCAAATGCCAAACGGGCACTAAAAGTTCAACACAACACTATACCAAAAATAAAAATAAACATGCAAAACAGAGTAAATGTTTTCTATTTGTTGATGGTATTTCTTATTGGATCATCTGATGGGTAAATGTTATGCTACCTATAGGGTGTATGATAAGCCTCCGTACGTCTTCGTCATCAGCTCAACAATATATTAAATTTCTTTTGGTAAACAAAATTGATATATAACATTGACAACGCTGACATACAAAATGTAGCTCAACATGTAATAACAAGCTAGGGTGAACCTGGAAATTTGAAAACCGACCCCTGCATCCTCCCAAAATTGCCCCCTTCGAACCCGCAAAATTTCACTACACCCATAGTGATTACTGATTAACAAATAATATTAATTTACAAGGAGAGCAAGTGATTCTGAACGGCTTCCTCGACAGTTCCAACTTTCCAGCTGATGCGCTGGAGATAGCCCCGTAGAGCATTGAAGCCCGCAGGAAAAACAAGTAAAACTAAAACTCTGCAGTTTGAGGCCATCTGAACACTTACGTTCCGACTGCCGTAACTGCATCTTCATCAGTAGAATCAGGTGAAACAATTTCCTCCATAGGTTCTGTTCCTGCTTCATTGTCTGTCACAACATCTACTAGCTTCTCCCTAAGCTTTGTTGTAAGTTCTTCCATAGCAGTGTTATTCTCGGCCAAAAACCTTTTCAGAGCATCCTTGCCATGGAAATTTTGACCATTTAAATTATAATGTGAGCCAGACTTTGTGACGAATTTGTTTTTCACTCCCAAATCTATGATCTCTGATTCGCGACATATACCCTTACCAAACTCCAGCTCTATAAGAACAGTTCTGAATGGAGGAGCAAGTTTGTTCTTCACTATCTTCACTTGAACTTGACTTCCTAAAGTCTGCATAGCAAATTAATTTCTTTCAAAAGTATGCATAACCATAGCATCTAATCCTCCAATCCAAAAGGGCACAAAAACAAAAAAGAACGGATAACAATGTAAGCCATATTACTAAGATTCAGGTTATTTTTCAGGGTCTCATTAAATGGTATTCAAGACCAATTCAAAGTTCTAATTAATGGGTAATGGCTACCAGGGAAACTACTTCTTTCCACTAATAAAGTTCTAATTCATCGGCACGATAGACAGATGGTTTGGTACCTACCTCTTCACCCTTCTTGATAAGCCCTATTCTCCTAATATTAAGTCGCACTGAAGCATAAAACTTCAAAGCATTGCCGCCACAAGGAACTTCAGTTGGCCCACCAAATCCTCCAAAAGTAGAAATCTTCGACCTCACCTGAAGATAAACACAATCAATTGCAGAAGTCTGACCTTTGAACAAATATCCACATCTTTCAATGAGATGGAGAATATCAGATTACTATTTCAACATTACAAAAGCCACCAAATTCAGAAAGTAGTTCAGGATAGACTATGTACAAAAACTTAAACCATACAAGTCAAAGTGAAACTGTACAACAGAAAATGATAAAGTTTGTAAATTGTATTAAAATTGTATCAGATATAAAAATGAATCACACTAATACCTGATTTGTAAAGATTAATATTGTCTGCGATAGAGACAAAGAGTGACTCAATTTGCGAAGCGCCTGGCTCATTAATCTAGCCTGCATAGCCATATGAGCATCACCCATCTCACCGTCAAGTTCACCTTTAGGCACAAGGGCAGCCACCTGTCATCATGTGAAAACCATTCATCCACCCAGACAAGCTACCGTGCAATGTAAAAGACAAAAAAATCTGGCTGTAAAAGTAAAATCTATAAAAGCCTCTTGAGATGATATGATGGGGAAAACATTCAATGAGAACCAAAACCAAAGAGGTTTTGTACGAACACATGAAGCATGCTTAATTTTCAATGGAAAAGTCAACATGGATAGTTTACCATGACAATATAATGTTACTGAAAAGCACCTTACTTACACTGTCAACAACTACAACATCAACTGAACCACTCCGGATTAGAGTGTCTACAAGACTGAGGGCTTGCTCACCGCAATCAGGTTGCGAGAGAAGCAGATTCTCAGTGTTTACCCCAATAGCCTGAGCCAGTGAAGGATCAAGGGCATGCTCAGCATCAACAAAAACACAGTACCCTGCATAAAGTTGCATAAAAAAAGGAACTCAATATCATAACAGCAGCCAAAAGAAAACACTTTAGCATCAACAGGGTAACTCAAGATCATGAACAAATCTAAATTTTACAACTACACCAGCATTAGAGCTTAATTGATATTTAGGTATCTCCTATATGGATAAATATAAATTTTTTACAGGATACAACTGTTCTAACTCCAAGAAACTCAGGAGATGATTGGGAAACACAATTTAGATGTGTGTGTGGTAGTGCCGTGTTCACATAGAATAAACAACTGAAAGAAAGAACGAAAAAGAAAGAGTATTTTTCACATACAATAGCCATACCATGTTCTATATAGGATGTGCAAAATGTTAATGTACCACTAAATTATAGTAACAAATTCCATAGTCTAACCTCCTTGCTTCTGTGCTTGGGCTATTACATGTAGAGCAAGAGTAGTTTTCCCAGAAGCCTCAGGACCAAATATCTCTACAACACGTCCCTACAGAAGTTCAATGAATGAAAATCACAAGCAGCTAATACATATTCAAAAGTGATGTATAAGGTCAAATCTGTGCATCTAGCAGCCTATGCACAAAAACAGTCATGTGTGATCAAGACAACAAATGACCAGTTATAATGACCCTAAACATTCAACTGATTATGTTTTGCATAATACCTTCGGAAATCCACCAGTTCCCAGTGCTAAATCCAGAGCAAAAGAACCCGTGGATACCACGGGGACCTGTCGAGGAGAGGCGGACCGACCAAGCCACATTATAGATCCCTTTCCAAATGAGGATGTAATCTGATCCAGGGCTTGCTGCAGGGCTAAATCTTTCTTGGACATATTCTCTTCATTGGAGTCACTTCCATCTGACTTAGGTTTCTTTCTGCCTTCAGAGACCAATTCACGTTTTTATAAATCATAAGGCGCACAAACAGTGTCTCAGAAAAATAAACAAATAACAAAAACTAACATTTCCTAAACAAAGTTATTGAAGAAATCAAAAAACGAAAGAAAACTTGAAGCAATCACCTTTAGAAGAAAAATTGCAAAGCTGAGTAGATGGCCCCAATATTCCTCTCCGATGCACCTGCAAAACAAAAACAAAAAATTAGATGCACGAAGCTCTAAAGGAATAACTCTGTTTTAACTTTCTGTATCCGAATAAATAAACCATTTGCGATTCAGACACTGTTTTCCCAACTTTCTCAGCGACCAAACAGACAACTAAAAATGCACAAAATGAAGAAATGGCAAACCTGTGGTGGGAATAGAAAACGTTTCATAGAAAGAGCGTTTCGGAGAAGCCTTGCCATACGCAACAACCTCCGAGTTTCCAAGCCTCCACAGCCCAGCTTCTCCAGAATCAAATAAGAGAAGAGCAAAGCAAGGCAAAACCTAGCCGAAAAATCAATTTAGAAAAATATGCTAGGCCATGCATATACGAAGGGGCAGAGGGAAAGAGAGAGGGAGAGGGAGAGTCTGGGTTTTAGGGTTTTGGGTTTGTTTTCCCTCCTTTTTGAATGCTGAGTGTCGCAGAGTGAAGAGCTGACTGTTTGGGCTTTCGACCTTTCGTTCTATTAATTTAGGATTGGGAATTTACACGTCGGATATTACGAGGGAGATGAGAGCCCGCGTATTGTAAATAAGAGTCCAATTTTCCTGTTACCAAATTCCATGTGCCCCTGTTTTCTTCTTAGTTTTGTGACATGTGGCACACAACTTAACACTAATTTAACTTTGTTAACTCTCTTCATCCCTTTATTTAAAAGTAATAATTAAAATACATGTTTGACAAAAAAAATTGAAGTTAAAAAAAATCCCAACACCCACCCATCGAACTTCAACAGCCACCCAGCACACGACCACCACCCAACCCTAACGACGGCAACCCCTATCCTCCACAACCCAACCTCAGCGGCGGCAACTATGTTAATTGTTATTTGTATTAAAGAATATTAGAATATTAAAATAATTTTATTCACAAGCATAATCCATTCATCTTCTCCGCCACCCACCATGCGGTGCCAACAGATATAGATCCAAATTTGCCTTCAATTATTGTGGTCTCTTTATTTCAACAAGCACACCTTCCTTTTCTCCTATCTCTCCCTTCGCACTGCCACACCAGATCTAGAATCCACAAGTCTGCCTCGAAGACGCCATCAAGCTTCATCGCGAGCTCAACACTCTTGCGGCTACTCCATCGCGACCTTGACTTTTCCCATGATTGCTTCCTCCAAGGAAGAACAATCCATAAGGTTGATGGAGGATCTAAGTCAAACGACATAAATATGTTCTATTAGGCCGGAAATTTGGTGAGAAATAGGGGGAAAGGGACGCTTCGTCGTTGGGGTTGGATGGTCATCGTGTGCTGGGAACTTTTTTTTTACTTCAGTTTCTTTTGTCAAACATGTATTTTAATATATTGTAATTATTATTTTTACATAAAGGGATGAAGATAGTTAGCATAGTGCAACATGTCACAAAACTAAGGAGGAAACAGGGGCACCGGAGATTTGGTAACAAGAAAATTGGACTATGTAAATAAATACGATGGGCTTTTTCCTACAATCTCACCCTATTAATAACAAATTATTATCATATATATATATATATTATGAGTTATTTATACTAACACCTTTGAGGTTTCTTGTATTTTACAAAAAAACCCCTCATGTCTAAAAAATTACATGAACACCTCCTGAGGTTTCAGTTTGTTTTCACAAAACCCTTTTTCGTTGATTGTTTGTCCAAAAATTGATGATTTCATTGAAAAAAACACTTATGCACATGACAAAATTAACCTCAATGAAGTATATACAATCTAATCTTAAAGGCTAACTTTGTCATTTGGAGATTTTTTTTTTTTTGGTATAAAATTATCAATCTTTGGATGAAAAATCAATAAAAATGAGTTATGTGAAAACAATTTAAAACCTCATGGAGTGTTCGTATGATTTCTAAAATCTTAGGAGATTTTGTGAAAATGCTGAAAACCTCAGAGGATGTTAGTGTAAATAACTCTTTTTTCACATATATTATTTGTTACTTTAAAAACCACTCTTATGTATTTTTCTTTTTCATCTTTCTCTTTGAATTTTATTTTTTCAAATAATTATTGAATAAATGTCAATTTAGGCTCTCTTTGGGAATAAATCAATTTATAGAATTTTTGGGGTACATAATCAATTGAGACTATTTGTAGGAGTTGAAAAGACTAAATTAGATACGTTATATGATACGTGTTCTTTATTTCCATTAAAATGTCATTGCATTAAACTTGTAGATTGCAGGCCAGCCACTACACAATCAGGCTAAAAAGCCACGTCTTATAATTTACCAACTCAAGAAAAAAGGCTCCATACAAAAAACCTCAAGATAAAAGGAAAAAATCAATTGAGATAAAAGAACCAAAAAAAATTACACATACCATTAATAGGGTACTAAAAACGTTGTCCATCAAATACCAATAAATAAATCACAATGCCATCCAAACCATCTTTTTTATCACATCCCCTCTAGACCAACTTAAGGTAAAAATAAAAAGAGAAACACTCCGACTATCACTCATCATACAGAGGTAAAAATATATTGATCATACAAAAATGACCAGCCACCATTTTCTATCAAAACAGTCTGAAGGTCCAATGAGAACGCTCAGCTACTCAACCCGCCTTTCGGAAACAATCATATTCTACTGCTGTTTGCATTCTGGAGGCCGCTCGCCCTGCTGACCGTCTGCAAGTTGTGCTCTTCCACTCTTCTACATTACATAAAACGAGTGATCAGGACACGCAAACGAAAAGTTAATTTTAGACAAAATAAGTTGAAGATGTTGGACCAATAAACAAATTTAAGGCAAGCCAGTATTTTCAATATTTGTTTCCTTTTGGAGGGGTCACTGTAAATCTGGCGAAAATATATGACAAAAAGGAAATACCTTGTGAGCAGCTGATGTCTGCAACAGAATTCCGTAAATTTGACAGAAAAACAAGCATCATTTCAGATTTTGAAATAATTAAAAAAGAAGATGAAATAGTTCATCCTAATTTGAAAAATACTACACCTTCTTTTTGGTTTTGCCTTCATCTTCATCTTCATCATCTTCATCATCATCTTCGTCCTCGTCTTCATCCTCATCATCCTCATCATCATCTTCATCTTCAACGTCATCGTCTTCATCATCTTCCAAGTCTCCAAAATCATCTCCTTGGATAGCCTCTCCCGTAAACCATGAAACAGCATGGGGGATGATCTTATCTCGAATGGTAGACCTACAAAATAACGATGCCAATAACAGAAGAAAAAAATTAAACAAAGTACTCAATTACAAAATTCCCAAAACATCTAGCAGTAGCAGAGTTCAGAAATCTGTCAATGGATAGAAGAAAGTATGAACTCACCCAATGTCATAATCCTGTTCCATCTGGTTTTGTAGTTCCTCAGCCTGTTGATAAAAAGGGAACGAATAAGACACCACAAACGGCCAAAAGTCTTTAAAGGAAACAAAAAGTAAAGAAGACCGTCTCTTACAGCATCTTCTTCAATATCTTCGTCGTCCTCAGGAACTTGAGGTGGACTAAAAAAGTTGAAGAAGCTTTCGCAATTCTCAGTTCTAGTGATTGGCTTAGCATTCTTAGATCCCTTCTTAGGCTTCTTCTTAAGGAGCTTCTGTGTCAAACATTTTCCCGGATACCATTCAATCTCCGTCCTACAAAGCATCAAGTAACAGTCAAATGTAAAATAAAGTAAAACTGAAATGCACCTGACTTCTTGGTAACAGAAGTACGAAATAAGGAACTAAACTATTTAGCATAAAGGCAATGTAGGAACCAAACTTACCCTATTGCTTTCTCAAGAATGGGTTCATCTTCATCTATCATGTGATATATCTTTGTCAAGACAGAGTTCTTAAAGAAGGGGTTGGTGTCAAAGTAGAACTCAAGTTTGAACCCCTTAGGATTATCTATCCTAAACCACTTGATGTCCCTAAGATATTTAAGGGCCCCTTCATCACGCTCAGTAATCTGATATCACAGGATAAGACGAAACAGTTTATTTGACAAACAGCAACATAAACTTCATAAATGAGAAACATTATGCACAAATGACTACCTCCTCAGCTAGAACTTCATTGTTTTTCATTGCATTGAGCCAGAAATCAGGCACTCCTTTCTCTGTAAAAATGCAAAAGCAAAGTCAAGAAACTAACAAGTTTCGCACATTAAATAAAAGCTAATATTGGTCTTGCAAAACTATCAAGATTGTACCTTCGGCAGCGTTATCCTCTTGACTTGCTGCTTCAGTAGTAGCTCCTTCAGCTTCAACAACACCATTTACGATCGCGTATCTCTGTCAAGTGATCAGTACAATTTATTTTAAAACCAAGGGCATGCAAAGAAATGAAAATAAGCAAACAGCATTCATAATGCAATAAAAAAAGCAACGCAGCAAGGACGAGCACACACTAATACAGGCCAGGGGTGCCATTGCTACCTTGCTTAGGTAGACTAGTGGCAAGCCACTAAACCACCTAGCCTTATGTGCTATGAAAAGGAAACAAAGAACATCTCACAGATGAACTCTTCATGTTTCATGATATAAGACATATGCCAGTGCAGTATGTAAAACATACCTTGCTATACAAAGGCTGGTACAATTTCTGATACTTGGCCTCCAGGGCTGCTCTCTCCTCGAAAAACTTTGCTTCTAATTCATCATGTTGAGTCTGCAAGTTGAGAACGGCTCAGCAAGTTTCACACGTCTAAATAATATGCACACCTTTTTTCATTTTTCGTCAAATAATACTAAGAGAGCGATCAACAAGTTCCATTCAACAAATACCACCACATGATGACAAATTGACTCCAATCATTTTGTCAATTACAACGAATATTTTGCAAAATTCTAAGAGAACCCCCAACTCAAACTCAAAACGTAAATTATAAACCAGAAACCCATCATATCAATCAGAAGTCAGAATTATTGTTACCAAATAAACTTATAAATGAAATAAGAGTGTAATATAATCAATCAATGAACCAAAAGACAAACAAACAAATATCAGCCAATCAAAGACTTAGACCAGCAAAGTACAGCACCAAACTACATGCTTCAGAGCGAGAGAGAATCATGCCTGTATTTCTCTAAGAACATCAACACGCTTTCTGACTACAGGAGAGAGACTCTCGAGGATATCAGAGTGCTGCCCGGCCAAACTCTGTATCTTATTCTGCGAAGACACAAAAAACCCAAACCCTATCAGCCAAACAAAGACTTAAACCCCAAAAACAATTTACTCAAATAAAAAACAAATATCGATACATAAAATTGAAAATTTAACGAGTCTATTGATGACTGGGGATAAAGCACTGACCTTAAGAGCGTTAACGAGGCCTGCTCGATCCTCTTCGTACAGAGCTGCAGAGACAAAAATGAAAAGCAGTATAAGATCACCACATCAGATTACCAAGCATGAGAAACAAAGAGAAAGAGATAGAGAAAGAGTACCACCAGCGGCGAGATCAGACATGTTGATGCTATCCTTGTCGTTGCTCATTGTGATTGCAGAGGGAGAGAGGGGGAGATAGAAGAAGGCGGCAAAGCTAAAACCCTAGAACCGGTGTGAGGGGAGGCAAAGTGTAAAGAGAGCTTTCAAAACGCGGTCTCCGTTTAATCCTTTGCTCCCTCTTTTTAAACCCTAACACACCTCCTCTCTCTCTCTCTCTCTCTCTCTCTCTCTTTTTATTATTATGGATGGTAGTGGTACACTGTGTGATGAGCTGTCCCATATTTTTTATAATTAATTTCTACATTTTTCATAATTGATTTTTTAAATCTTTGGGCATTATTGAATCTAGATCTCTAAACAAAATGGATACATTTGGCTGGTTTTTTGGTGGTCAAAAATAAATTTGCCCATATGTTTTCTATTTATTAAAGGATTTTCGTGTAATAAATTTAAACTCGTGAGCTCCTTCAATAAGAATTATATCTCAAATTTGAGATTGTTGGAGAGCTTTATGGATTTGCATGAGATGTAAGTTGAGGGTGTAGAGGGGAGAAATAGTCACTAATCATAATGGTTGGCGAATTTGATTTTCTAGTGGTTTGTGGAGGTGTTTAATTCGCGGGAAATGGTGGTTCGCGGGAAGAGATGATTCGCAAGAAAAAGGTGGATGCGTGAAAGGGGCTTGAGAATGATAAATTATTTCATTTCTCATGTTTAGTAAGTCCATATTTGGAAAAAAGTTTCTTACCTCATGTGAAAATACGGGGGAAAATAAAACCCTCCATCCATTTTGTGTTTCATTTTTGTTTTCCATGGGAAATCATGGTAAGTTTTTTATGATCAATTTGCCCCCATTAAAAAATAACCAAATCAATGAAACCCTTTTTCTAATTTAAGGGTATAATGGAAAGCCTATACAATTTTTATTCCCGATTGATAACCAAACCAAACATTGGTAATGATATATTACTTTCTAAGCATTACCAAACATGGAAAATGAATCTCTAGTTTTTTCCACAAACCAAACACAACCTGTGTGGACTACATACAAAAAAAAAAAAAAACATGTGTGTACATGTGTTTAGATTCATTTAAAAGTTATTAGTATTGGTCTTTGAATTGTATTTTAGAGGTATTTAGTTCGCGGGAAGAGGTGGTTTGCGTTAAGAGATGATTCACATGGGAAAGTGATTTACGGGGAAAGAGGCTTGGGAATTGAAATTTATTTAATTTCTCATTTGTTTGGTAAGTCCATATTTGGGAAAAGGTTTTGTAGCTAATATGAAAATGAGGAGGCAAACTGCCATCTTCATCTAGCAAACTACCTAGTGCCTCAATGGCAGGAATTTGAAACTTGTTGGAAGCACTTTGTGGCCAAGGGCAAGCCGAACCCTGAGCGGGGTTTAATCCCACCCTTCAGGTGTGAGGACACCTTGTGGTATTTACCAAAAATGAGGAGGAAAATGAAACCATCCATCCAACTTGTGTTTCATTTTCCATTCCAATAGGAAATCAAGGACCAAGGTAAACATTAATTAAGTTTTATATGATCAATTTGCCCTCATTAAAAATCGAATAAACAATGGAAAACATTAATTATGTTTTGGGAGTTTCACTAAAATACCCAAAATGGGGGCTGAAATTATAAAAATATCCAACACCCAAAACACTTTATAAACATACACAAAACTCATCATTACACACACTCAAAACCCATTTATAAACATACCCAAAACCCATCATTACACACATACCCAAAACCCATTTTGGGTACCAACAGGAGTTGGTCCAAGTGGAAGGGGCTTGGATCCTTTAAACAAGAGGTCTTGGGTTCGATTCCAGGCGCTTGCGAATAGAGCAGACTTTGTTGGGAGAGGTCCCCGCTTTGCGCCCGACAGTACCTCGAGGGTTAGTCCCCGCAATCGCGCGGGGATACCTTGGTTTTCACCAAAAAAACCCATTTTGGGTATGTTTCTATGTTTAAATAGTGCTTGGGTATTTTTATAAATACATGTATAGGATTGGGTATTTTTATAAATATCTATTATGTTTTTATAACTTAAGGGTATAATTGAAAAACTAAACCAATTTTATTTCCAATTCATAACCAACATAATACAGGTAAGGAAATAAAAAGATAATTTTTCATTACTCTCTTTACTTTCCAAGCATTACATTACTAAACATGGAAACTGAATCTTATTTCTCATATTTTATTATTATTATTATTTTTGAGTGCTGCTATTTCCACCCACTTGTCCTATTTCTTCACCCACCTAATCTTGTAAATTTTAAAGACCAATTTACCTCTTTATAAAATTACGTCTATGGACTTAAGGGAAAAACATTAAAACCAATTAAAAACATAAGAAATTGATTATAAAAAAAACTAAAAAGATTATTAACAAATATCAAACCCCTTCCCTCACAACACGCATACCCCACCCTTCTCCCTCTTCCTCTACCGCACGGCAGCCATCTCCCCCACTGACAAGAACATAGCTTTAATTGTCAATTCCACTCATTTCCTCAACTTTGCCAGGAATCATATCTTCCGTTACCCAAACCCACCAACTTGGTTCTTCATGGTCAACATTGATGAGAATTTCAGCTGCTTCCAAATCACTTCCTAAAAAACAAACATGTATTTTAAACAAAGCCCAATGCTTTAATGATTATATGGGCAAAATTAAAACAATTAAAATACCTGTGGCCACCTTGAAAGGAAATTGATTTTAGATTCCTGCTTTAGAGCTCTGATTCGAGTCAAGAAGTTGATTGAATCCATAGTAGTTTCTCAGTTGCCCATTCTCTTCTCGCAGAGCCTACAATTCTTCGTCAGTGGTGGACACGGAGGATGTGGTGTTGAGGCTTGGGTTTTTGGGGATGAATCTAGGCAGTGGGGTGGGGCTAGGGATTGGAGTCAAGGAAACGGTGGCTGCTCGGGGCGGATGGGTTTTTGTATTAAAAAATTTCTTATTTTTTAATTGAGTTTTATAAATTCTATGAATATTTTATTACACCTAAACATAAAAACAAGCAAAAATATGAAATTGACTCTTAATATTATAATCAAAGGGTATTTTAGGAATAATGGTGGGTGAAAAGATAGGATTTTGTTTTTTCAAATTTACATAGTGGGTGGGAAGATAAGGTGGGTGGGAAAATAGAACAGGTGGGTGGAAATAGCAGCACTCTTATTTTTGGTTACATTGGGAGGGATTATTTTTTATTTTTATGTTACATTGAGAGGAAAAATCCCTTGGGGTTTCAAACCTAGGGGTATCAAGCAGGGGGGAAGGGGGAGTTCACCATTGTAGTTACCTGCTCTCGACTATTTCTCATCTTTAGAAAAGACATAGAAACTGATTTCTATAAATTTATTTCCATGAACCGAACACACAAGCCATGAACCAAACACAACTTGTGTGTGCACGTGTTTGAAACGTTATCAGTATTGGTTTACCATAGATTTCCACAATAATTTGTTTTGTAACAGGAGGAACAATTGATTACCCCAGGCAATTTCGTCGGCAAAAATGAGTGCAAAAAAATGTAGACAATAGAGACCATTCAATTTCGAAATAAAGTGAGATATCTGGCTAGAACCAGGCTGCACAATCTGCTCCACATAACTAAAACGAACACTACATACATATAATATAAAAAATGAAAAACTGAAAATGACAATGACGATGATGATGATGATGATGTGAGGTAATATCTTCTGAACAATCTGAAATTCATTCCATAAACTAAATAAAATCAAACATTCAATACAGTAGCTAGTAAATAGCACTTCCTATGGCTACATGTGAGTTAAGTACTTGTTATCTCTTCACAAGCTGTTCAGAATTGACCGACACCAAGCTGCTTATCCTGCAATCCGATATGTAAGATTGTTTCTTGCAAACCCCGGTGCCCTAAAACAGATACAAAAGATATTTAATTAAAAATGATCTTATAAATTTTGGATGAAGAGTTTCATGGAGTTCTTGCACTGTCTTAACCATCATTTTCAGTGCTTTCCGTATCTTTCACTTGATCACCATTAGCTGGCTTCTCAGGACTCAAAATTCTTCCACTCAAAGGATCTACAGGCCGTGTGTCACGTGGCCCACCCTTACGTCCCATTGCCACCATTGGTGGTGGAGGTAACAACCCTGCTCTGAAAAGAATGCGCTGCACAGGATCTGAGGGCTGAGCTCCAACAGATAGCCAATACCTGCAGAAAGCAGGAACAAAATTAGTGTGACACAATTGTTATACTTATTTGAAGACACAAGAAACTTTAGCAACTATTTACTACTCTAGCAAAATAAAACCAATAAAAATCTGCTAGATCAATTACTGTCCAGAGATTATGAAGTCAAGGGCATCCTGTTAGAAACTCCGAGGTACAACAGAAGGCATTAATTGTCTCAATAAGCACAAAGGATAGAATAAAAATCTCCTGGGATAGTTGTTTCAGCTTCCTCAAAATCTTAAAAGAATTCCATTAACTAATGTCACCTTAAAGCATCCACATAATTAGAACAAGCAGAGAATCAAGTAAATCCATGATTGAAATTTATATTCCAGAAAACATGCAGTAATTTCCAAGAACAAAGTCACTTGATCAAAATTTAATTTAATTTTCCGTGAGCACACATTATCCTCCTCTCACCTAACATCTAGAGATCTTTTTTATTTTTTTATTTTTAACATTGGATTTTCATTCAAAAGGGTACAAAGACACCTACAGCAATTAGAAGAAACATAACTAAAACCAACAAGAGGAAAATAAACTACAGCCAATTACAAAGCCTAGTACAGTATTTTCCTCCCGCCATAGACAGACTAATTAAGGTGGACTGGGCAGTCCATCCGAAACCAAAACACGAACAAGGTACACAGACTAATTAACATCTGGAGATCAAGGGGTCACATTTACGCACAGCCACCTTCCAGTTCTAGCATGAACATGAGATCTTATACCATAACCCTAACACTGAAAGATACAAAATCTAAACTTAACTGACAAATTAGTACATCTAAAGGCAATTCACCAACAATGAAACATGCAAAATGAAGCATTGAAAGTCACTTACTTCACTCTTTCAAAGTTTAGACCCATTCGTTTGCCACCATCTTGGCCTGTACAAAATCATACACATTGAAGACAATTTACTTAAATATCAACTATTCATATTACCCAAATGAAAAAAAAGAAAACTAATCCTTTTCTTTGGATATTCATACTCAAAACGCGTTATCCTTCTGAATTTTTACCCAGCTTCACAGAAATTGCAATTTTGTTCAAAATTCATCAAATTCAGCTCTACCGATATGAAATGCTACATTTCTTTAGCTATCATTAACAAAACCATAAGAAACCAAAAAAAAATCCTAACCCATACACAGAGAGAGAAGCGAGAGAAGACCTGGCAATGGATTGTAGTAACCCAAGACTTCGAGGTGCTTGCCGTCTCTAGGAGATCGGCTATCGGCCGCCATGACCCGATAGAATGGCCTGTTTTTGCATCCGAACCTTGCCAATCGGATCCTCACCACCATTTTCTTAGCTCCACCGAAATGATCGCTCGGTCGGGAAAAACCAGTAACTCACTACACTATCTGCTTTCTAGGGTTTAAGGAACTGATCTGAATATTATTTCGGGTCAAATTTAAAAACCTGTGCGGCCCAATATTACTAATAAACAGGTTTAGCCCAAGATTTAACCCGACCCATGACCCGGCCCAGCGTCGTTCCAAGCGCATGTTGAAGGCGGTTAGCGCCTGCACGGGGGAAATCCTGAAAGTTTTTCAACAGAAAAAATAAAACAAAATCTGAAAGTTTCAGACTTTCAAAACCCTTTTATAGGGTTTCTGATTGGAAGAGAAGGAATTTGAATTTCTTGGTATTTCTGGCAACAATGGAGGAAGCAAATATTGAAACCGGAAAACCCTCGCAAACTCTAATCGCTTTCCCTCCTCACTGTCGAAGACACCTCAAGAGCGGAACGTACCGTACCTTGGTTCGAATACTATCTCACTGCTACGACGAGTCCCAGCATTCAGCTGCCGATCAAAATGTACCTCAAGAACTTGATCAAGGTACATTAAATTTCCACAACTCAGTTTTTAGTTTTGTTTGGTTACTGAGAAACTCAATTTTTTTTTTTATGATTAGGGTTGTTCAGTTGGCGATGGAAGTGAATTAGTAGCTTTCGAAAGTAAAAGTATGATTTTTTTTGTTTTTTGTTGTTTACTAAGATTATTTTGCTTCCAAATTTTTAAAGCACGCAGTAGCTAGCCACTTGCACTTGGAAGAGTTGCTGTTGGAATGTTTAGTTTTAGTTTTAAAGTTTTGGTTTTTCTTTTTAAGTTGACAAATTTTAGTTCTAATTGTGTTGTTTTTCCTGATTTTGATCTTCTTTATCCTGTATTAAGATAATGGCAGCATCGAACCAGTGCAAGCAACTGAAAAAGAAGTGCTGGAGAATGTTGAATTGGTTGGTCCTGGCAGTTTGGGGCCTAAGAATTCGGCAGCTGAAGAAGTCAGAGTGCCTGATGAGAGTTGTAATCCTAATGATTTTCAGGAACAATTAGAGCAGATAGAGAGTATACTGAACGTGGCAGAAAATGAGGATTTTTCAAAACTGAACGAAGTGATGGACATCGAAAATATCCTTGCAATTGATTTTCAAGATATGGATTTCAATCCTGAGCAGATTCTGATGGATGAGCCAGAGCGGATGGCGAAAGGAAACGAAGACGACACTCATAGACCCTCAGCCACCTCATTGGACCAGAACCAGAGTGGCAGTGATAAGGTTGCATTGTTGACTAACCAAGAAGAACATGATGCAACAGTGATATATGAAAGTTCGGTTCAAATGGTTTCTGGAACACTTGATTCATCTTTACATACTGTCGCGGTGGGTGAAAGTTCAAATCAAAGAGAGTCTAATGAACAAAATTCCTTTTTGATGACTAACAGATTGGATGTAGAGCCTATAATGCAACAGAAAGCAATGGAACTAGAGACTTATGTATCTTCCGAAGGTGCAAAGGAATCTTTTATTCCCATTACTGAAGTTGGAGCGATTAAGGAGCCAGAAAACTTTAGTCAAAAGGTCCCTGACTCCTTTGATTTCTCTTTAAATAAGGATATGGTTGCTGAAGCTTCAAAGCCTACTGAGTATAGCAAAGACAAAAGTTCTTCACGGGTAAATAATGATTTAGAAGTAGAACATGAAATGCAGCAAAAGGATAAGGAACTGGAGGAAATAGTTTGCACCAGAACGGCAATAAGTTCTCCCAGCCATATGAGTGAAGATATTGAAGAGGGAGAAATTTCTAGTGACGATGGGATGGATGACAGATCGAATGATGTGCTTTTGCATGATACAGTAGTGTTGGAGGAAAAGAAAGTTCCGGAGGTGCAGATATTTAAAGATGTACTTGATAGAAAAGTGCACTCTTGTACGGTAGCAAATGACAAAGATTTTGGCTTCAATTCCTTTCTGGTGGACATGGTTGACGAAGGCAAATTTGATAGAGGGGCGGAACTCATAGAAAGTAGTAGAACTGAGATGATTCCTAGACTAGGGGTTGTTGAGGGTAAAAATGTGAAAGCCTTAAAGGTAGATGACTCTAATCCATTGCTAGAGGGTGGAAGAATTGAAATGCAAGATAATGGAGTGAGGGTGGGTATTGGATGTCCAGAAGCCGGACACCATGGAATCACATCTGAAGAAAAGGTTTTGTTTTCACTTGCATACTCCTTTTTTTTTCTTTTTTTCTTGAAGTGCATGCATGTTGGTATTTATTTTTTTATTGTTGTATACTCGTACCATTGTAGCTGTTTGAATCATCCGTTCTGTGATATATCAATATACCACCATTCTCTAGAGTTTGTCCTCAATCCATCGAGTATATTTTTTTTGGGTAAACTGGAGGGGATAAACCCTGAAACCAACAGAAACTAAACAGAAGCAGGACAAACCAATCTAGCTTTCGAAAAGGGGATATCATCCAGAAGAAGATTCATGATATTTTAATTATTTATTTGATCATCATGAAATTTTGATCATATGTTATGGTCTATTATTTATCATGTGCAGTGGGATGATGGTGCCTGTAATAAAAGAAAGCGTGGTCCTCCGACAAAGGAAAAGAAAGAAAAAAAAAAGGTATTAGTTTTTACTTAAACTGCACACTCCTAAATTGTTCAGTTGGGTTTGTTGATGTTACTATCTCATTGTAATTTGTTTCGAAAAGGATCTTGTTGTGATATTCTTTGGAATTCATCCTGACACATCTAAAAAGTAATTGAGAAAATTTTCATTGTGAAAGTGTTCAGTTCATAAGGGCAACATTTTCTGTCTGCTTATAGAAATATCTCCTTTTGTGAACAATGCATTGTGCAGGCTAAAGAACGAAAGAAAAGAGCGGAAAAGAACAGGGAACTTGGTGTTAAAAGGCTGAAGCTGCATCCAATACAGAAAGCAAAAACTGTAGCATATTGCCGCCATTTTGTGAGGGGAAGGTGCCATGAGGTTTGCACTGTGTTCTCAATTCTATTATTCTTGTCTCATCTATATTGAATGTGCAACTTACCTAAATTTTCACTTTAGAAATCTCCTTGGGCAAGGTGCATTGATATTGTTAATACTCTTAAGTTTTTTTCCTCAAAACTATCTCTGTAGGGTTGCCAAAGCAATCCTTGCTTTTATTTTCTAAATAATTTTGGGGTGCCAATCATCTGGCATAGTTTGATTTCCTTCCCATATCTATCTCCTTATTGTTATACACTTTATCTTTGTTTCACAGGGTGACAAGTGCAAATTTTCACATGATACAGTGCCTTTAACAAAATCCAAGGTATGCTCACTGGACTGCGTTCTTAATACTTTCTTGTGACGCTAGTTGCTTCCTATTAATCAAAGGATATATTTAAGAGTGCTTTTTTACTGCTGCATTTGCTCGCCCAACCCCTTTTAAGAAGATTTAAATTATAAATTATGCTATAAGCTTTGTGATTGGTTTAATGCATTTCCGTTATATTCTGGTGTTGCAGCCCTGCGTCCATTTTGCTCGTCAGTCATGCATGAAGGGTGATGACTGCCAATACGATCATGAGCTCTCCAAGTATCCCTGTAACAATTTTAAAGAAAATGGTTTCTGCAGCAGAGGTGATCGTTGTATGTTTTCACACACGGTAAATTCTTGTCTATATAAGATGCTAATTAGAGCCAGTTATAATGTAAAGTCTGCTTGGCAAGGTCTATCATCACATTACATATGTTTAACTATCTGCCCTGAGTAGTTCTCATTAGAGCTTACCTTGTTGATTTGCTATTGAAATAAGTTAAATTGCTAATCATGTTTACAATTTTCCTCAGATGCCATCCAATGAAGACAGTGCAACTGCTGCTTGTAAACCTGAATTGAAGCCTCCTATGGTGCTGAATAATTCCAGATCTCAACAAGCAAACACTGGTGGTGCCTCCCAGCAGAATGTCCATGCTTCAGCCTACTCAATGGGGATCCATTCTCGCAATAATACTAGACAGAATGTGACACAGACTGTTTTGAAACAACCTGAACTAGCTAACAAAGGAATTAGCTTCCCCTCTATTCCGAAATCATCGTTGGTTCATTCCAGTATGTCTAAACAAGAAGGCTTAGCCCCAGATAGGAATACTGGTGCCAAAGCTGGGAACCAGATAGATCAAAGTCCATTCAGTTCTGTTCAAAATTCCACCGTGATTTTAAAGAGAACTCCACCAGTAACCGCTCCTAGAGGAATAAATTTTTTATCATTTGGCAAGGCTTCACCAGATGATGCAAGGGGTAAAAACCAAGTCAGCAGTCAGACAAGCCCAAGTGTGTCAGAGACTGTCAAAAACTTGAATGGGATGCTAAAGGCTAATCAATCAGCTGCACCGCAGGGAACACACTTTAATCCTTTCGGGAAATCTTCGGTGGCTAGTTCTAGTAGTGAGAAACCGGTTAGCTTGCCTTCATTTTGGAATAATGGTAGCAAAATTGATTCCTGTGAGAGTCAAAATACAGCTGATAAACCTCAAAATTCAAGCGAAATCTCATTGAGGCTGCCACCTTCTCCACTTACTTCAGGTCAATCTTCAGATCACATAGCATCCAGGTTTTGTAAAGATACAGCAAATTCATTCCAGAGGGGACTCTTTTCTACCCTAGCATTTGCAGCAAAGTATAAAACCCAAAACATGAACCAGTCATTTGGCTCTATTGGTGCTCAAGTTGATAAGGAAACTAGGAATAACAATGTCAGTGACAGGTTTGCAGAATGATTCAGCAAAAGCTTTTAGAATTTTAGATTTCTCGTCCCTTATTGGTAGAAACATCAAGCAGTTTGCATGGTGTTAAACAGTGAATTGTGCCTTAGGCAGAATTGAGTGACAAGAAGGGTCCCCTGCAACCAGAATCAAGATTGTTATTTGTTCAGTTTGGTCAAATACACCAGAAAAAGTACAAAGCTATTAGGTGGCATCTCGCTTGCCCTTTGCCTGCACATGTAGCAAGTCACTCACTCGTATAATTTCAGCAGCTGTCAGCAAGGTACAGTTTGCAATTTTCTTGTGTACACTATTGTAAGTAATATTTCCTTATATGTTCTTTAAGAGGCAGTTGAGTGGCTAACAGGTAAAGGCTAACTTTAATTCTTTTGTTGTTTTATTTTATTTTTCAAAAGGAATTTATAGGAATTTGATGGCTTCAATATAATGGATTTTGGTGACTGAGGATCTTCTTCATTGAATGAATTTCAGCCTGGCTAAACTTTTGTAACTGTAAATCGATTATACTCGATGGATACCAATCTCATGTGACTGCCATCTTAACCTTGTTCTTGTCGCTTTCATGCTCCCGTTTAGCGAAAAACCTAACTTTTTTACTGCCTTGTTATATGGAGGACAGATGTTCTTGAATACAACATTTGCATCCTTGTTTCAGAGTGGAAATCCATCCACCTTCGTCTGCTGCTGGAATCGATCTTAGGTATTGGCTTTACTTACCAACTTGCAATGGATTACTTTAGGGCTACTCTGAACATGGTTAGCAGATTGCAGGTTACTTGTAATAGCAGGCTTGTTGAGTCATATGCCCATTTGTATCCTTTATTGCTTCCTATTGAGAAGTTTGACAATTAGATTGAAAGCCAAAGATGTCACTACAACAAAAGCTGGGCTGTGATGCATTTCCATTTGCCAAAGAAAGCATTGGAATATTGTTGAAAAGCTTCAGAGAATTACGGTATCAATGCACTGACTTTTCTGCTCTCTGCTAATAATCCAAACTAGTCTTGGATCTGATGAAGGCTAGAAAGGGTCTACATGTTGATGTTGTCTCCAATCCAGGAGTCAAATTTACATTATTTGTATGTATTGTACCACACAATGAAATTACATCTCATATCGTACAGGCTTTTCTGCAGTCCATGTGAATGAAATGAGTTGTGGACAAGTGGAGCCATTTTTGCTCACGTTCGGGGAAAAGGATTAAAAAGACATTAAAGTTCAAGTGAAATGTCTTTAAATTTGTTGTTCCTGGTGAAAGCTAATGATGTTAAAGCATCTCCATTTTTCAAATCATCATGCTTCACTTTATTGACCCTAAACCCATAACCTAACACCATAAATTTTGCAATTACATCTTTTGTTACTCCATTCATACCCCATGGGTACTATTTCACCATAATGCCAATAAATTAGCTGGCCCCACTTTTTACCTATGTGGGTTCAAGTCGGTGCCCCTTTTAAACTGGGGCCTAGAGGAGCTCTAGGACTCGTGTGAGTGGGCCTCTTAACGTAATTAGCAAGAGAACGAACTTATTGTCTTAATCAAGTGGCATAATTCACGTCTACAATTACGATTAACTTTTAATCGAAAAACTCTCACAACCTATACGAGATCATAATTGAAATTCGTACCTACGTGAAGTTCAATTAGATCATTCATCCTCTACAAACAGAAACAAATTAGATCATCCACATGCAGAGTTTCGGTGCAAATAATTTAAGCCCAAAAAAAACCAAATAAATAAACAACAAAAAGAAATAACCACTAATAAAAAGCAGGTATAGAAATACATTTCGCTCCAAAATTATTTAAACCAACTTCAAAACCGATCGTCTCCGTCATACTCTCTCTACATATTCAACACCCCATTAATCTTTTCTCTGTTTTTTCTCTTTCTTCTACTTTCCGACGATGACGACCTCTGCGAAAAGCAACTTCATGCCTGCGAGCTTGGTCTCCAATCTTCAACAAGTACTCGCCCTCAAAAACGACGGCGTCCAGCAGCAACGGTCCTCCAACGCCTCTGAACTAAACAAAGTGTCTTCATCATGCTGCTCAAGCAGCGAGGACGGCATTCAAGGCAAGGAGTGCGTAAAGCCGGTGGTTTTGGTCACAAATGGGGAGGGAATCGAGTCTCCTGGTCTCACATTTCTCGTCCAAGCTCTCGCTCTCGATGATCGCCTTGACGTCTGCGTCTGCGCTCCTCAATTGTTAGTTTCTCTCTCTAGGAACACACCTTCTCATGTATTTTCTTCCACTTTCTCACCAATCAAAAAGACGGAGATCATTATAAAAAGCTTAATTTTTTGGCTGCTGCAGAGATAGATCTGTCGCCGGTCATTCTGTAACTGTTCGTGAGACAATTTCTGTGTCTTCTTCTCAAATCAACGGCGCCACCGCTTTTGAAGTCTCCGGTAATCTCTCTCTCTTTCCCTGTACATATATGTATATAATCCGGAATTATATATTAATTATGTGATTATGGGCATAATCAACATCAGGAACGCCAGCAGATTGTGTGTCTTTAGCATTATCAGGGGCATTGTTCGCGTGGTCAAAGCCTGCTTTGGTATTATTGATCGCTTACTGTTTGATTTGAGGTTTGTTCAGATTTCTCGATCAATCAATGATCTTTCTTGATTTTCAGGTCGTCAGTGGAATAAACAGAGGATCAAGCTCTGGAAATAACACGTCAGTACTTCTTTCTTGCATTTCAGATTCAGATCTTTACTGGCGAAACGTGATTCTTCTCTGTTAAATTGGCAGCTTCTGATAGCTTTTTCAGTGACAGCTTTTTCATTGTCGTTCTAATAAAACGACAAACTTTTGCTCTACTTCAGTCGGAATACTGTAGTCCAGTACTCCGGCGCAACCGTGGGAACTTCTCTATCTCTACTGCTGGTTTCTTTTGTAAACGACAGAGTTTTTGCTGTGGACCTGTGGTCCTCTCATTACCGTCGTTTTCATTTCTGAAAGCTGTCTTTTACTGTTGTTTGTTGGCTTGGCACAAGCGTCAGACTTGTTGTTTTCTGAACTGATAGATCATAGTCTTACAGATTCTATACGAAAATGAGGACACTTTTTGGTTTAATCAGTAACAACTTCTTTTTCGTGTCGTTTTAACGAATAGATTTGTGACTTGATGATAACAGGTTCTACTCCGGTGCTGTGGCTGGAGCTAGAGAGGCATTAATATGTGGTGTATCATCTCTGTGCATATCATTGAATTGGTGATCACTGCATTTTCTATCTCTAATAATCATAATATGTAAATGGTTTTGTCTCTTCTTTATATATTGGCATTGCAATAGGTTTAACTTTTTTTTCTTTTGTCTTTGATTTTTTTAGGAAGAAAGATGTAAGCTGTGAAAGTGATATGAAGGATGCAGTTGGTGTGTCCTTGCCATTAATATATGCAGCTGTAAAAAGCATCCAAGAGGGAGTTTTCCCCAAAAGTTGCTTACTGAACATTGAGATTCCTAGTTCTCCTTTGACAAATAAGGTTTGCCGTTTACAACTAGTTTAATTTCTAAATGAAGTGAAGGCAATATAAAATTCTGTTATGAAAAGTCGAACATAGTTTTAGACTTGATGATTAAAAGTCAAAATTTGAATATTGTGCTTTTCATCAGGGCTTCAAAGTGACCAGGCAGAGCCTGTGGAGATCCTCCTTGAGCTGGAAAGCTGTGTCCACCAATAAACGCCCTTCTGCTCCCCATTTCATGTCCAATCAGCAAAGCCTTGGCATTCAGCTAGCACAGCTCAGCCGAGATGCTTCTGCAGCTGTAAGTAGCACCCTTTTCTGTTTTGGGGCTAAGAATTAAATAACACTTACTTAATAAGAGAAATGCTATAGTTTCTTCTATCAACCAAAAAGTTGTAGGCAATGCTCTACTGTTCATTCTTGAATGGCCTACCCCCTCCTTGGATTTTGTCAGGGCGCAGCACGCCGCTTGAACTCTCAGAAGCAGAATGTGGAGATTGAATCTGTTGGAGCTGCCAGAAAAAGCAACTCGGAAAAAACAGTAAAATGCTTTCGTTTAGAGGTATAACCAAGTGACATAAATGACTCTAAACTGCATGACAGAAATCCAGGATCTCAAGTTGAGCTATCCATTGCTTTCTTTTATGCAGTTCTTAGAGGAGGAGCAGGAAAATGTAGATGAAGATCTGGACATCAGAGCACTTGAAGATGGATTTGTGAGTTGGAAATTTTATTCCTTTAACATCACTTGATCAACTTCATTGCCCTAAATTGCTGATTTGGTGTTGCCTTTTGGCATATGGTAGGTTGCAATTACTCCTATTTCGATATCTCCTCCAACCATTGGATCAGAAATTCAAGCCTCAGTGTCGAATTGGATTGCCGGTGCACTGGCTAAGAATCCCTTGGCATTTCATTGATAATCTTTGAGCATTAGTGGATTACCTTAAAGTTTTAGTGCACTAATTCAAATATTTAATTTCATCTCTTGGCTGGATATTATTTAGTAGCAAGAGGAGCCTATGGTGAGCAAACTGTTGTGGCAAAATGGCCTGGCAAGGCAAAGGCAAGCCTCAGTTTCCTGTTATTAATGGTGGAAAATTTTGTGGTGCAACTTGGAATGAATTGGGTTTTCTGAGCAAACCTAACTTATTAATCTTAATTATTACACTTGGCATTTTATGATTGGATCTGGATAAGCTACACTTTAGAATATCAAAAAGTCATTTTTGGTTCATTTGGTTTGCCACTTTTACCACTTTAGTCCATGTAATTTCAATTTGATCAACTCTGTCCATATAGTTTCTAATTTCAAGCAATTTAAGGACACTTGTTAGTTTCTATCAAATCTCTAACTAGTAACTTCCGTTACTTTTTGAACATGTGCCTCTCACATGGAGGGGCGATTCGGTCCAATTATGCCATATAAGAGAATAACCAAGTTGGTTCTTCTCCCATTCCAATTTAGGCTTGATTTTGGGGATTAGGGTTCTTGAATTTTTTTTACTCCTGAGTTTGAATTTGGTTCAATTGATAATCCTACCGAACTTATAAGCCTTAATTTGTTGTTGTAAAACTCATCAATCAATCCACATTCTATGTTTCGGTGTTAGTTTTGGTGGGAGAAACAAGAGTAAATGTATACACCGCCAGGGTATCAAGAAATGTCAGAGTGTTGATCATGTTAGAAGGGGCCATGATGACGGCTGCCTGCCTCTATGCTTGGTTAGTATGAAATCAATCGCCCTTTTACTAATATTTATGTACTCTTTCTTTTTCAACTGAATTTACCATCCATAAATATAATTATAGGCAATATATATTATTGTTTTCATCTTTTCAATTAAACAAAATTCAAACCTATGAGTCAAAACTTTTAAGAACCCTAAGCCTCAAAATCAGGCCTAAATTGTAATGTAAGGAGAACCAACTTGGTTGTTCTCTTAGTGGCACAATTGGACCAAATTGCCCCTTCACGTAAGGGGCACATGTTCAAAAAATAATGGAAGTTAGAGAGATTTGATAGAAATTGATGAGTGTGCTTGAATTGCTCGAAATTAGAAATTAAATTAATCGAATTGAAACAACATAGACCAAAATAGTAACAGTGGCAAACTAGAAGAACCAAAAGTGACTTTTTGCCCTTTAGAATTTCTCCACAAAGGGGCATGGGAAGAAAAAAAAAATTTCAAAGGGCCAACTTGATAAGTTTCAGATTCTTTTTTAAGCTTATCCAACCTAAACCTTGGTTTATGGTTGGGCTTCGACCTGACTTTACTTCAAATGAGCTGAATTACTCGACATATGTGTTTTTTCCTCTTCAGTTTATATTCTCAAATTGGGAACATGCGCGCACACACACACACTCAACTAACAATCAATTTGATCAACGATCATGTTTACAAAACTGCAAGAAGATATGTCAATGCTATCTAATACCAATATTATAGTTGTTTAGAAATAGTACTCAAGCACTTATCCGTATAACGGTATAAGCATGCTATGTTGCTAGTATGTGTATAATCATCCTATGTTGCCAGTATGTTTGGGAAAGGAACGTATATGCTACTTTACAATACCCTAAAGTATAATGATTTAGAACATGATAAATGTTTCTTAAATTTTACTAAAATTTTGATACTACTATTCATACGACACTTTTGAAACATTGATTTATTTTTGCTCACCACTTTAACTCAAAATATACCCTAACCACCTATCACAACACTTAACACATGTCCCTTAGCATAACCATGGTTAGCTCTTTACTTTGTATTTATGCAACTATGGTTATATCAATAGACACGTGTCAAATGTTTAGATGGGTGATGAAAGTACAACTTGGATTAAAGTGGTGAGCAAAAATACTCCCTTTGAAACACATGTAATGTTATCAGAACTCATCTTTGATTGACCATTAAATACATACAACTCACCAGATCATATGATGCGACTAGTTATAACAGTTGGCTAGCATTCAAATGAGGAACTGACAATTTGAACCGCATAACCATGGCCGTTGAAACTACCAAGAAGCAATCCGACTATCAAGAACTTGCCACACAACTCCAACTCAACCCCAAAATAAAAGAAGAAGACAAAAATAATGCTTGCGAGTCCAAGTCCCATCCATTCGATGATCATAACAATTGTTAACAAGTTGAACATGTTCTACAATACAATGCCGGCCGGCATCAATATCATCCCTTTATTTCACTAACTTTTGACACCACACACACTCCATAACTAAGAGAGACTGAGATGAAAACATATACCCTACTTAGTACCCATACTTCAACATGTTCGAAGGGTGTTTGAGCTTTAAGTTTTACCTGTGTACTTAGAGGCAGCAGGACTTGGATTTGTGGGGTCCCCTCATAGACTCACACTTGGCACTTGGATTGTGGGGTTCCCTCATAGATTCACTCTGAGCTGCGCAAAACGAGACCAGATCAACCCTACAAAATTATTTTAAATAAAGGGTTGGGGTCATTTGGAAGTTTCTAGAAAGTAGAGGGCCTTTGGTTGTTAGGTGTGGGGACAACAGAGAGGGAGTCAATTTAGCAACCCCAAATGGAAAAAAGTCTCAGAAGTATGCAAACGTGTCAATGCTCCCACAGAAGTATGCAAACCCCAAATGGACACACACACACAAACTGATACAGTCATACTCTCCTTCTCACAAAACCAGGAGAGAGTGAAGAGGCAAATTAAATTTAAAAAACCCAAATAATAAAAGAAAAATTAAACAAAAGCATAAACAACAACACTCTGCTCCTGCCTTGGCCTCTGCCTCTAGGTACATGATTTTCTCTGTTTCCGTATATACATATAAAGCTCTGCCATTTTCACTAAACCCCATTAATTTTTTTTTTCTGCAGATTGTTCGGTTCACTCGGCAACTTGTAAAAACCTTGCTTCAAATTCAAAACAAAAAAAATGGTGGTTCCTGAAGGCTGTGGGGATGATGGTGGTAGGTCTCGTCTGCCAGTGTCATCAGCAATCCAGTTGCCAAAACCCAGCACTGGTTTAGAAGAAGCAGAGAATGAGTTGAATAAAGCCACAGAAGAAGTGGCTCCGGCGAAGGAAGAGCAAAAGGCAGTGACTTTCGAAGGTGGTAATTGTGATCGGTCGTCTTCTTCGTCTTCATCCCCTGCTTTGCCAAAACCAGCCAAGGAACTGTTCCGTATTAAAGAAGAAAACACAGATGATGTTGATGTTGATGGGGGAGATGATGGCAACTTTAATGGTGGTGATGGTGGTATTTTTGGGTCATTTTCTTCTTCATCCATGGCGTTGCCTAAACCCATGGAGGGTTTGCACAAGGCTGGACCACCACCCTTCTTGAAGAAGACTTTTCAAATGGTGGATGACCCAGAAACCAATTCGGTTGTTTCATGGAGTGCAGCTGCTCAGAGCTTCATTGTTTGGGACTCTTACGAGTTCTCCAGGACTCTCTTGCCCAAATACTTCAAGCACAACAATTTCTCAAGCTTCATCCGCCAACTCAACACTTACGTAAAAATTCTATCTTTTCCTTGAAACCTTTCATCTCTCACATTTGATTTGTCTGTTGCATGTCATTTTTTACTTCTTCTTTAATTTGTTTGAATGATTTATAGTTTTTTCTCGTTTGAACATATGGTTTCTGCTTAGTTTGTTATGCTTAAATCTTCCTGGTCATTGAGTTCTTAATGGATCTTATTATGCATTCAGGGCTTCAAGAAGGTTGATCCGGACCGGTGGGAGTTTGCAAATGAAGGGTTTCAGGGAGGGAAGAAGCACTTGCTGAAGAACATCAAGAGAAGAATCAGATATAACAAGCAGCCAACTGTAGGCTCTGTTGATTCAACCAAAACTGGGTTAGAAGCCGAAATTGAAAGTTTAAAGAAAGACCAAGACTTTTTGAAATTGGAAATCATGAATCTCAGACAACAACAAAAGTACTCACAGCATCAACTGACCGCTGTTGAACAACGAATTCGAAATTCGGAGTGTAAGAACCAAAGGATGCTCTTTTTCCTCACCAAAACAGGCACAAATCCCACCATTGTCCAGCAGCTAATGCAGAAGAGAGTGATAAAGAGAGAGCTGGATGGGAGTGATCTACGCAAGAGAAGGACATTGCCTTCAGTCCAAGTCCTTGAAAGCCTGCGTGATTGGATTGATACCAGCCTCAGTGTGGATTGTAGAAGCCAACATGAGGAAGAACTGGGGCCCATGCTGTCTGTGCATGCTGAACAAGTGGCAGAGGCAAAGGTTGCCAAACAAAATGAAACCCCATTGCCAGCTCCCATGGTTGATAAATCAGGCAATGCAGTTCAAGATCTTAAGCTCCATGTGATGGCCGGAACCGGCACGGAAGACATGCCCACTGCTTATCATGGCATGTCTGAGAATTTCCTGGAGGAAAATGTAGTCTTTGATGATGATGAATTTGAAGTCGATGACTCTAATTTTTATCAAGAATTGGAGGATTTGATTGGCAAGCCACATGATTGGAGTGGTTATGTAAGTCACTGCCTGATGGAGCAAGCTGGGGCAATTGGGGCCATGCCTTGATTTCACAGGTATGTTTTATCTTCTCTTCAATGTGAAGAATTGTGTTTGTGTTGTGAATATGGAGAAATATAATGTGTTCTTGGGGTTGTTGCTTCTACAGTTGCAGAGACCTGAGAATGAAGATGCAACAGCAGATGAATGAAGAACTCCTTAGCCTATGGGGTAATCTAGTGTAGTTGTCCATGTAACTTTCTGTGTACTTTTCTGCCCTAAACCCTTGTCTTTTTATACCTAAATTGTAAATATCTCTTCCTCTCTGCTGCTCAACTGATACTGCTGCACAGCTTGGTTTAGCAGATGAACTCCGTATAATATAGTGCATGTTAAAAATCCCATCTCTCAGTTTTGCTTCAATTCATGGTGTCTTCTGTTTGGAGTTTGGTTACAACTTAGCAATTCTGTTCATTCAGCTCATATGCCTCCCTGGTACCTGACAAAGTGAATGATCTATGGGCCCCTCCCTACCCTAACCCTGAATTTAAAATTCTTAAAGAATAGATGTGTTTAGCTGAATGTAGATAGATCCTAACTAGAAAATTCAAACAAGCTCATTTGTGTTCAAAGTCTTCCCACGTGTTTGAATGACACATGATGCTGCTGTATTTTATGGTTGATGAGTCTTCTGGGGAAGCTTAAGACGTTGCTAAATTGGGTTTTGGATGCAGTCTTTGTGGTCTGAAAAAGCAAATACAAAATCAATGTTTTTGGAATTAAACATCTTGATTAAGCACCACTTGGTTTTTATAGTTTTTATTTATATATATATATATAGGGGGCGGATCCGTGGCACCACAAATTTGACACAAGTTTTGACACAATTTTATAACCATTTGATTAGGCTACAATGAATGGTTAAGATTAAACAAACTGATTCTTTTTCTTTAAATAATTATTTGTTGAAATTAATTTTAATTAACTTACTATGATATTTTATCTCTCTTCATTTATGTTTTCCCAACTTCCTAAAAGCATTAACATTTTCTCTCACGTCATCTTCTTCTTCATGCGTTTACTTCTGTTTTTTTTATTCTTCTTCTTTCTGCCTTTGACAGTTTCTATCATTAACAGCACTAAACAAGTAGCTCTTCTCCCTCCCATATTTCACATGTTAGCCATTAATTTTTTACCCCTAAGATTTCAATCAATCTAATAAATAAATGGTATAATCTAATTCTCTGAGTATGAATTTCTTTTTTCTGATCCTGTCTTTTTATCGTTTGGGGTTTGGTTCAACTACTGTCTTTCTCTATCTTGCAGCAAAATTTGGAGAGGTTTATCTTGCAGTCTTGTATGTTGGTTCTTTTGTTAATTTCTTGAGCTTTGAGTCTCTAAATCCTTGGATTACTTTCTATTTAAATTTCTTTTTCCTCTTACATTTGTGGATTTCTTAATGTCTTTTACCATGAGAAGTTCAAGTTCATTCTCAAACAGTTTAGCATCTAACTGCAGCAAAAAGTATCCATAGCTTCTTAGCACAATTAACATTAAGATTTTCAAACAATCTCTAGAATATTTAGCGAAAATTGCATGAAGTGTTGGAGTGGAAAAATCTGGAATAGATCCTTGCGTGTTTGGAGATCAACTCAGAACTTTGTTTCCAGATAAAGGAAAAAAATTTAAATCAGAAAAAAGTTCAAACTCAAAACGTGAGAATAAATGAGATTGGAGGAGATGGAGAGATTATAGCCTACATTTATGTTACCTTGAAAAGTGGTGAGTTTAATATTTTATTTTATTTGTTATGTTATCAAAATAAAATAAAAATAATAATAAAATCACATTTAATCTTAGCCCTTGAAAGTGCTTGCATCTAAAGGCTATAAAATTGTGTCAAAACTTGTGTCAAATTTGTGGTGCCACGGATCCGCCCCCATATATATATATATATAAATCAATTATATAGAAGGTCTTCTCTTACAAGCAAAGCAAAGGTGTGTTTGTTTACACATCCAAAATCTTTATTGAAAAAAATTCATAACCTACTCATTTTTTGTTATTATGTTTTTGTTTCTTAAATTTAATTGGCCAGAATATGGCTAAAAGAACAGCCAGAGAATAAAACTTTTTAAACTTTTTAAACTTTTTAAACTTTTTTAAAAACAAGAAATAAATAACCTGTGCAGAATTGACAATTGAGTGCAAATAGAACAATCCCTCCATCAAAGTTCATCCAATACTAACCAAGAAGATGATTCTTATATTAACCAAGAACATGAAGCAAATTTCACAGTAGACTGAACACAGGCATGAAACCATCGCTATGAGACTAAGCAATTCGACTGAACTTCCTATAAACTATGTAATACAGAATTATGATTTAAAAAGGAAACAAAATGAAAGAGAAGGTGAGAATGAACATAACAGAATGATGAAAGTTATATTATTGATTGAGGGTAAGCTTTCCATTAGACCTCACTACTCCTATTGACGTTGAGGAAGAAGAAGAAGACATTGCAGACCGATCAAACTCCTCTTTGTCCTCATTGAATGCCTTGCTTAGCACTTCTTGGAGCTCCATGTACCTTCGTCGCTTCCAGAGCCGTAGCTCTGGAGTATCGTCCCCGGTGTATGCAAGCTGTGATATGTCATCACCATCCATGATTTTATTCAGTACTTCTGAGCAACGAGGAAAGAAGCGTTTCCCGAGTTCCACTGCTCACATAAACCACAGAACATAATGGTAGAGCAATCAGATGTTTTAATTGCTGAAGCCGCAAAGCTAATGTATGGAATGTGGTTGTTCATGAAGAGAAATGCATATAATATTACCAGTTCGAGATAGAGCTTGTAGCCTGAGAAGGTGCTCTTCCTTGATTTTGAAGGGTGCCTCGTTTAAGTCCACAGTGGTTCTCTTGGAACTGGCCAGATCCTTGGAGCTGATGCCACCTATTGGAAACTCAGAAGCGCCATCAATTTGGGAAATATCCATTACAACCTTTGCTTCCATGGGGAACAGATATTTTGCGAGTCCAACTGATACAAGAGTTAATCAGTCAATAACTTAATCATAAGCTCGTTTAATAATAGGCAATAGATGCACCCTACAAGGGGTAATAAACTACTATGTCAGACAAAACCAGAAGGAAAAAAAACCCATAAATGACATGAAGCAAAAATGCACATTTGTTCTGTTACGTGTTAAAGTCGTATTTCAGTCACTTTAATTGAGACAAAAATGGATGGAATTGCAACAATGGTTAAGTAGGAACTGATAAGAAGCCACAACAAGCATAAAACATGTAAAACTTATATTGTCCCATCATGTTATCAATTGGATAATAGTAAATAGCAAACAAAAGGGTTATCTCAGAAAGATCAACCTATGAAGAAGCACCGGTACAGCAAAAATGAATGGTAGATTACCTCTATTCTCAAGGTACAAGAGCTTCATACGCAGATCATCGCCAGCCATAGCAAGTGAAAGAGAAGCTTCTCCAAGCAACGGATCCCTTCTTTCAGCTTGCTCCAAAATCTCTATGCACAAGCGATCATTGGAAGAAGACTTGCCCTCATCATTAGACTTAAAAAAATCTGCAGCCCTTGTGAGGCGCTTAGTGATCTGAATAGCTTTCCTCCCATCCAACGTAAGATCCGATGGGCGAGCACCCTTTGTGAGAAGGGACACAATGATCTTAGGCTCCTTCCTCATCGCTGCAACATGCAGCACAGTATACCCCCTCAGATTCCTGCAATTAACGTCAGCGAGTCCAAGATCAAGCAACTCTGTCGTGGTCTTTGCATCACAGTATGCCACAGCATAGTGCAGGGCATAGGCATCATCAAGATTGGCATGCGCCTCTTTCAACAGCATTCGTACCAATTCGACATCATCCGAATCCAAAGCCCTGTGTATCCTCTTGGTGTGTTTATCTGGAAAATGACTAACGCTGGTGTTGCATTGAGGCCTGTCCAAGCCAAGTGCCAACCGCGAATCGGTGATCAGCTTCACGGTGTGTTGGGGCAGGGCTTTCTCAAGAGTTACAACATCAGCATCAGACTTAACTATTATCTCAACACACCTCCCCACCAATCTCTCACACGCTTTGCCGCACATGTTTGCAACATACAGAACCACCAGTATGTCATCTATGCAAACTTTCTCAAGAATATCTAGCAGATGCCTCTGGAAATTAATAATCAATATACAACAAGCTAACAACAAAATTTCGGAAACCTCACAATCAACAATTAAAACAACATCCATCTTCATACACAAATATATAAACAAACACTGAAAGTAATCTTCTTTTGCCAAACTGTTCAACAAAATAAGATTGTGAATCTCCCCCATCAATCAAATTCAAATTTATCGACTGTAAATCTCAACCATTAATCAAATTTATTAACTTTTAATGATGGGTTAATAGCAATTAACTTATAAGCATTTGTTGGACAACATAAACTAACAAATACTGCTACATTAGCATATACTGCAGTGGGTTTTTACCTGATAAAGAGAGACCAATTCAGAGATTTCAAAAGTTGCAGAAGCATAGAGAACCTCCACAATGAAATCAACGACGGGTCTACAAGAGACATGGGCACAAGCGTCGTCCACACAGGCACAAACGCCTTTAGGCAACGACCTGAGCTTGCCGCTATACAAATAACCCAAAACGGCGAGGAGGGAGTCCAATCCGACGTCGTATTCCTTGGCGAGTTCCTTCAATTCGAAGCGAACGGCTGAGCCTGATCCTATGTCTTTGGCAGAAAACACGTTCTTGAAAAACGAGCTCCTCGCCGATAAAATACAGCGGTGAACCGGAACTTCTCGGCCGGTATTGACGACGATTTTGGCGTCGGCGAAGAAGTCGAAATCGGCCGAGTCGAGGATTGATTCGAGGTTATCCGAGAGGCGGGTGAGGGCCGAGATATCGGGAGGCGAAGGGTAGTGGGATAATGCTATACAGGAGATGGTGCTGCTGTTGGAGTTGCTGTAGCAATTGCTGTTGCTAACGACGTCGTTTGAGACCGAGACTCCGGCTTTGAATTCCATCGAAACGAGAACAGAGCAGAAATGAGTTCATATGAGCTGTTGGATTAATGGGGTTTATGAGTTTCGGAGTGAAAGGTGGGAACTTTGGATTTGAAGTCAGAGGAGAGAGAGATCAACAACTTCAGCATCAGCTGTGAACATGGGTGACGATGAGAGAAAACAAAAACCAAATTACGCAAATATAAAAAAAAAAATTGCTGATCAAAACCTTTGTAATTTTTTTTTTGGTAAAATAATAACAATAGTTCCTTGTTCGTCCGTACATGAATTATTATCCAATCATAAAGCACAAGTACCAAGTTCAAGGATAGGCAAAAAAAGTGGTGCTGTGTTGGTACTGTGACAGTAACAGAGGACAGAGAAAGAGAAAGGGAGAGGGGACTGAATTTTGAAGTCGGATTTGATGACTGCAAGAATGCATGGTAATCCGGATAAAATAGAAAATGGAAGAGACAAAAAAACAAGCCGTTTTGGGGCTTTGTTTATGTCAGTGATGGCCTCAGCTTCTGCATTCATAATCTTCCATGATCGTCATAAGCACCGATCTGCAGCTTTTTTTGGTTGCTCTCATTTGCTCTGCCTTCTCTGTTAAGGTTCTGCGTCTTTGTTTTTTGGTTTTACTTTAATGTGCAAAAGTGGTAAGCCTAGCAGTAAAATATATACAAATACTGCAGTAAAATTTGTAGGGAAGGTCTGAAATTTTGGTCGAAGATGAGATGGTGTAATCTGAAAATGACTGTAGGGTTAACAGTCAACTACTGGAATCAGTCTCAGGCAAAGAAGAACATGTCCATTTCAATTGACATCTCTTTGGGTGACTATGAACCATTGATTGGTAAGAGATTCACATCAACTAACAGTGGTTGTCGCCTACGAGCGCATAGGTGATTGATGCTAGTTAAACCCAACATCTTATATCTATTTTGGAGATAAAAATAGTAGACCTACGAAGTGATAAGAAGGGACATATGTTGAATGCACACGATTTTCATATATAAACTGAGTCATGAAAAAGGGGTATATAATAATTTCTCATGTATAAGCCGAGTTGTATTCGGGCAGAAAAGAATGAGGAAGAAATATCACAATTTGACCAGAATTCACAACCAATCTTTGTTCCCACGAGGAAAGCACACTTTCTCCAACCCTTTTCCGATTGACACTCACAGTCCACCTTCCTTCTTAGGTGAAGCTGGATTCTTCTTGGGATGAATCGATTGGACAATAGCCTCGATTTCCTCCTTTGCTCTTTCAAAAACATTCGGAGCCTTAACATGATCGATTGGGATACTCGCATCTATGTCATCACTCATTCCATGAGTTTCTTTAGTATGATGCTTTGGTGACTTGTCATGAGTTTCCTTATCATGATGCTTTGGTGACTTTTCATGGTGCATGATCGTTCCAATCTTTTCCTTCGCTTTCCCAATAAAACTAGTTGTCTTGGCATTATTTTCTGCAGACATGAAACCTAGTATTAAGAACTAAAAAGACTCGAGTTTTGGCTTATAAAGTTTCTCCACAAACAACATTCAGTCAGCATGCATACGATGGAGAAGATTTCTCTCAATTTTTTTAGTTTTCCATAACGCCACACAAATGATAATGAAGAAGATAAAAGAAACAGTGGCAAAATATTATACAAACAGAAGAGCCTTGACCACAATCCATTGTTCTTATCTTCTAAAACTGCTAGTGCTAGTCATGGAAACCAATGTAAAAGTTCCAAGAAACGATCTCATACAAGCAACATTATCATGAATTTTATACCTGATTGAGAGTCGGTTTTCTCCTGTTTTTTCAACTCCTTTTGACTTTCATCCCTGCAATCAAATTAAGAAAAGCAATAAGGTCAAAACCTAAGCACATCAAAAGGCCAGTTTCAGTGATGCAGAAAGCATATTATTAGTTTTCCCAAGCCTGCTTTCAGCTTTTCAAGTTGTTCAAAACTACAAATAAGTAAGCCAAAAAAGGGAAACCTTTTGCCATGAGTGGGAGACTCTTTCTTGGGATGGATTGCTTCAACTATAGCCTCAAACTCCTCCTTTGCTCGTTCAAACATATTTGGAGCTTTGACATTGTCTAGTGGGGTCTTTTCATCAATATCCGTACGCATGCCATGAGTTTCCTTATGATCATTATGTGATTTTTCAGTGTGCAATAGTGCTCCAATCTCTTCCTTCGCTCTTTCAATCAAATTAGGTGCCTTTACTTCCTTATCTGTGAGAAATTTTAAATATTTAAAAACAAATTTACCCCCTTAATCAACAATTCGTTCTCTTTTCTACACAGACAAATTATAATCTACCAACTATTCATTCTCAAGCAGTTATAAATTGAATCACTTCAAATAAGCTCATGATTGATTGCTGCGGAAAGGCAAGGAAGCACAAGGAAATTCAGCACAGACAATCCAATCCCAGACTCTCTAATTAGATTCAAAATATTCATTTCCACTCCTATAACCCACCTCGAAAAAACCAATCTTTTCAATAATCCTTCAAGAAAAAAATGAAATTGAAAATTCTAGCAAATGGGTATCAGAGACAAAACGAGAATGACAGATTAGAAAGTTCCAAAAACCGTACCGGGTGAAGCTTGCGTTGGGCCGGGTTTGGATTCCGCCATCGGAGTTGCTTGGCAGACAAAGCGAGAGAGAATAGGATGAAGATGGCAAGAATATCAGTTGGCGTAAGGAGAGATTGACAATAGAAACTATAGAGAGAATCAAAACGTGCACATCTATCTGTATGCCAGTTTGGACAAGGCAACGGTTGGGTTGGGTCTACCTGGAAGGTGGCGGCGTTGGACCCGCTAACAAAGTAACATGAGAAATGTGGTCCAAGAGGTGTCCCTCTCAAAAGCTTTTATTTATTTATTAAATAGTATAGCCGCGCGGCTATACAATGGTTTTTTAAAAAAATAGTATAGCCGGGCGGCTATACCTTTTTTAACACGTGAGCGCGCTGCGCGGGTCCCTCTTTCCTTTTTAGCTTTTTTTAAAATAGTATAGCCGTGCGGCTATACTTCGGGTGTAAATTTTTTTTAACGAATAGTACAGCCGCGCGGCAATACCGGGTTATTTAAATTTTGAAGTGTAGCCGAGCGGCTATACGTTTTTTATTATTATTTACGAAATAGTGTATCCGAACGGCTATAGTTGTTTTTTTAAAAGAAATAATATATATATATATATATATATATTTGTATCTGTTTGTCAGGGCCCATCCGAGTTTCATTTGAAAATAGGGTAGGGGTCGGAAGACATTTCATTTGTTAAAAAGAGAGCCCATGGAATTTGGCAAAAATAAATGTGGGTCTATGGACTTATTTTTTGGATGAAGAAGGTCCATGAACTTTGGGGAAAAAAGAAGCGAGAGCCCATGGATTTTGTTAGTGCAGATTTTGCTGGCAATAGATGGAGCCAACCCATTTCCTTCATGGAAAATATTTATTTTTATTCGTATTTTTATCAAGTCTTGATTCTTTCTGGATTGTATTTATATTTGGTGGCGTCAGTTTGACCACTCAAAACGGAATGCACCGTGCACGCACAGTCGAAGGCAGCAGACATCAACGTTGAAGCCTTGAATTGAAGTTGAAGAAAATTCTATGCACTTGCAGGCTGCGACATTGCATAAATAAATAAATAAATCCATTAAAAACTATATTTCTTACTTAAAACGCATAATTAGCCAAAACTCATGATCGTTTTATATCTGAATAATCAAGGTTTAGTGATGTTTGAAAACTTTTTAGGTCGAGGGTTTATTAGAGGCTGCTTATTTAAAAGGAAACAGTCAACCCAATTTTGATTTGAATTCTCTCCATCCACATTTCCCTGTAATTTCTTCGCACCTTCTTCTTTATAGCTATCAAACAAGGAAACAAAAAAGAAGAACAAACAAAACTAGGGTTTTGCAGTATGCTGTTGAATTCTCATTTATATTTCATAAAATAAAAAATATAAAAAATAATTATATTAAATGAGTCATATACAACAAACCGAAGCAGTTGTAAATGCAAGTCGGTGAGGCATTCAATTGGCCTCCATTATTGTTGAATAGTGGTAGGCGCTCTACACCTATATACAAGTATTCATTCAATACATGTACGGATAATGTATTTTTATATAAATAATTTTTATCTCAAGGATCAAAATTCGACTATGCTCGTAAACCCTAGCAAAATCCCACCATGCATGCACGCATATAAAATACGATATAGTTGTAGATCGGCATCGACCATTTTGGCGGCTGGACAAATTGCTTGCAGGTATGAAAACGCGTTGCAAAAGCATGGTTTTGAGAAACGTTGGCATAAATAATTTAATTAAATTAGGAAAACCATGCAACAACTGGCAAGAGATAGAGATAAAAAGCAGTACACGTCGGCACTCAGCAGGGTCAACTAACTATACAGCTGTGGCGGGAACTGGAGTACAATCCACAAAGAAATCAGGACTTTTTTAACGTCACTGTAATTTACATAAATACCCTTCCTCTCCCTTCTGGGAAATTTTGTGACTGACTGACCGATTGACTCTCGCTTTTGTGGACCTCTTCTGCTCAACGATTTTGATTTATTGCATTGCACCTACAAAAACTAAAACATCATTTTCCCAAACCACCAAAAAAATTAAAACATCATAATTTGAGTTGGACCTTACTATCAATATGTCGTGTACATACGAGTCGATATTTTGGGTGTGAAGAATGAAAATTAGCCGTACGGAAAAATATGAAAAGTATAATATTACACAAAAATATTACGATCAGTTGTCTACTCGCATGTTCCACATTTTATCATAATACTTATTGCACTTATTATGAAGATGCATGTGTGTACATAAATTTTACGTGAATCATGCATGTATATGTGCTCATACAATGAAAACGTTGGTAATTGAGGTAGATAACTTTATAAACATGCCCTATAAAATATATGGGGATTGTGATTGGATGACTGGTGTGAGATAAACATGCTGCATGCATGTAAATTAGTTAAGAAGCTTAAAGTAGATTGAAATGAAAGCGATAATTATTGCTTTCATAAAGAAAACGACAATGGTTGGTTTGTTATTATATATAAAGAGTAAAAATTGTTGATTTTCATATGCATAACGTGCACATCTTTATTTAGTTTGAGGTGTCCTCCAATTTTATTTAGGAATACGTTCTATTATGTGATTCTTTGAGTCAGGATTAGGTGTTTTGTCCCTATATTGTAATTTTTCGTTTTATCAATAAAGTTTCCCTCGTTCCGTTGAGGTTGTCTCAAAAGAAAAACATAGTAAAAATTGTAAATAGTTTAAGATCGATTGGCTTGGCTGGGTTGCATAACGTCCATTGGTAAACTGCACATTCGACGACTAAACAAGATTATAAAAGAAAATTAAAAAATTAAAAAGTCGGCCAAGATGAATTGTATTACAGAATTCACACCACCACCTCGTGATTTCGCGAGGAAGAATATATATATATATTTCAGATGGAATCAGTGTCGTGACCTTTACGGTTCAAAAACGAAAGCTAAAAGTCCACTCATTATTTGTTGGAATATAAAAGGTCACCATGGAAGTTAATATTCTAATTAAATATAAAGAAAAGAAAACCTTTAAAGTTTAATGTTCCCTACTTTAAAGTTTTAAATAATTATAAAATTATTTTAACTAACTTTCAATGGTAAGTTTTTAGATAATATGGAATTTTTGTTAGGATGAGCTAGCTAAGATGTTCAAAGTTAAGGCTCAGAAAGATTGCATTGCTTTGACAAGCACATATTGAATTATTATTATTATTATTATTATTATTATTATATATCGATTTCAATGTCTTGACTTTTGCCTCTCTATGTTAATTTTTTGACTCTCTATGTTAATTTTGACTCACTGGTGTGCATTGTTCAAGCACGTCTCTCCTCTGCTGCATCCCAAGTAATTAAAAGCATCATTTCACAGGTAATTTTCGATTGTTGACTTGCACACCTAAATAATGAACTTTTTTGCAAGGAGCTTGTAGTTTAGGTGGTTAAAAACAGTTATCTATACACTCGAGGTTATGCGTTTAAATCCACCATACTCTTGTATAAACAAATAATGTATTGAATGTTTCTAATATTTCTTTTAGTGAAATGGCATTGAAAGATTTCGAATCGGATATTTCTTTGGGGGTCTTGCTTCCCAACTCAACGTGAGAAAAAATGCTTTATGAAATGGTTAAAAGAAGTTTATAAATTATTCATCGTTTATAAAAACAATGTGTATACTCAAAACATTTCATTTAAATCATCTTTGAAACCCTAAACGTTAACTATCAATCACAAAACAACGTCACTCTGACCACAAACACATCAAATTTGAAGGCTTGGCACCCAAAGCAACTTGGAAAACTATCACATCCGGTGGAAATTTGAAGAGGGCATTATGGTAACTTGGCCAGGCCGTAAAGGAAGGACATAAAGAAAACAGACGCAGTGACAACAACAGCAACAGTAAACAACAAAAGCTTATGACTCTGCGCGTCTTCCATGACCAAAGCCATGAAAGAGAGGCCCCTGACTTGTTTGGGCTGTTGACCGGTGAGATTGAACAAGCACACAAATCCCAGTTTTTATTTTTCTTTTCTTTTTGTCTGATGGACCCAAAATCCCAGTTTTGTTTAGTTAAAAGGCAACTCTGAGTTTTTTCACGGAAACTGGCAAGGCTTACTTTTTTTGACCGCCGAATCTCTCTCTCTCTCTCTCTCTCCCTCTCCCCTAATTTCCATGTTTTGTATGTTAGGAAACACACAACCTTTTATAAAGGGGCACGTTCACATCCACAAGACAGAGAAGGCAGTTTTTCAGCTTCTCAAGCTTTGAATCCATCAAATTCAAAGCACTCGTGGGATTTGAACCAAAGAAAACTCAAAACGTTGAACCACACACACCCACCATTCTGTCTTCCAATTCTAAAGCAACCATCATCCGTTGATTTCCCAAGAATTCAAAGACTTCATATTTTCCATCTTCCCATTTTCCTCTTCCATATTCTTGACACGTATACGAAGGACTAGTGGGATTAGTTTTTTGTTTTTTGAGGTATATATAAGTGAGGAGAGCTAAGCAGTCAAGACTCATAATCTCATTACTTGTGAGTATTTGCTCTCTGAGTTCAAACACAACCTTTTTTAGGACATTCTGAACAATCCCATTTCAGGTAAGATAATGATTCATCTCCCAATTCTGTTACCCAATTTGTAGGTTTGTTTCAATCTAAGTGTTTTGGGATTTTGATGGTTAATAATTAGCAGCTTGCTTCTGTTTCAATTCTTAGTTTTTTTCAGAAAAGTTGTTCTTAGTTTTTTCAGAAAAGTTGTTCATTTGAAAGGGACCACCTTAAATTTACTGTGTCTTCAAATCAAAGAATCAGAACATTGGCATGTTCATGAGGGCTTGAGCTTTTTGTTTGGAGTTCTTCTTACAATCTAATCTTTAGTATACTAATAATACCTATTGTGTGATCATATTGAGCAGGTAAAATTTGCCTCTTTAGACTTGAAGCCTTCTTCAGCAATTCTATGGGGCTATCCCTCTCATTACTTGCGTCAGCCTGGGAGGAGATTGTAAAGCATAGTTTCTTTGATTTAACATACAACATCCGTTTCAGCCCCAGAGATGGAGGTGCTCATGTGATATTGAGAACACATAGCTTTAAGAAAACAGATAGCTTCAAGAAAACAGAACCAGAAACCACCATTGTTTCGAATAGTTCTAA